TTCTATAAATTGTGTTCTCTAAAAAAATGATCAAACAACACAAAGTGTATTTCCCCCAGGAAAAATTATGTAGGCTCCACAACTAGACCAAGTTACTATTTAATTTTTTGGCCCTAAAAATAGAGGGGCCTGTGGCGCAACGGATAACGCGTCTGACTACGGATCAGAAGATTCCAGGTTCGAATCCTGGCAGGCTCGTAAAATAATTTTTTTTTACATCGGCGTTCCACCCCAACTGAACGGTAATCCCACTTAAGCAATATGTCATGGATGAGTTACACAATATTCTCAAACAGGATATCAATTCTTTTTAAAAATCGCGTGCACGTATTTTTGGTTTTCGTTTGACTTTTCAAAAGACATGGCGTATTTGTTGTGATTAATAATATCTGTAACAAAACACAGTTTGAAATATTTTTTCTTGTAAGTCATTGAGACGTTCTAATATTTATAAATATTTAGCGGAAGAGAAAGAGAGCGAGTTCATCTACAACAAAATTAAAAGTTAACTTAATTAAATAACAAGCTATCAGTAGGCTATCAATTTCTACTTGTTATACTTATGTGTCAATATATGTGTAACCTACATGTACAAAATATGTTCACACAGTTTCTCTACATTTTCAAATGTAAACTGACACAGCGCCACCTATCAGCGGAGATTCCCTTCAATGTATTCACGAGTCAAAGTTATGTCATGACAATGATCCTTTCCATTAAACCCACGGACTCTGTACAGTGTTTCTTCCAGACTTTTTTCTCCGGGGGGGGGGGGGGGGGCACTTGAAATTTCGGGGGGGGGGGCGGTAGACTTTCTTGAGGGGGGGCGGACACTGTTAAAAGTATATATTTTCTATATAAATTATATAAATTTCATTTCGTTCGGGGGGGGGGGGGGCGGTAAAAATATTTCGGGGGGGGGGGGCATAGCCCCCCCCCCCTCCGAAGAGATGCCTGGAAGAAACTCTGACCCTGTGCAAGAGAGATCTACTCATCTAACAAAGGTGAACATCTAGGTGGGGGTAGGGGGGATAGCGGTGGTGTAGCTGGGGGAGAGGGGCAGGGGCACCCGGGGCAGACTATCAATTTAACCCTTTCCTTCTATTTCTATATATAGTTATTCCTGTAATGCCCCCCCCCCCCTCAAACTGGATAGGTTTTTTGACGCGTCTTACCAGATACTAGCCCGTAACATTTTCGATTTTGTTGCCACAAATTGGTATAGAAAACTGTTAAATCTCTGTGTAAAGCCTTGTAGTCGTTTATTTTTGTAACTTTGACTGTGTATTAATTCAATACTTCAGCTTAAAATAATAATTTTAATTTTTTAAAAACTCCTTTTGACGCCCCCTTATGGTCCGGGCTCGGGGCGGCCGCCCCACTCGCCCTCCCTTAGTTACGCCAGTGGGGGGGGGGGAGGGGGGGGGGGGGCTGTCACAAAAAAAATCAAGTCATGTATTGGGTGTTGTTCTTTGGTTTGAACTTCATCTTGCTTACATTTTGGTCCGAGGGTAGACTGGGCCACCGGTCCACCGAGATAAATCCACGTAGGCCGCTTGAATCTGTTGTTAATCTTGTTTATTGCAGATTTTCTAGGCTTTTTAGGTCGGTGTCAGGTCCCAGGTTTCAACTGAAAAAATGTTCTATGCAAGTTTAAGACGGAAAGAGCCGCTGTTATTTATTTCACGCGCCACCTAGACACAGCCAGCCCACCCCTGTCCTTCGCCACCCAGAAACCAATGACAACAGCCAAGCTGTCAAGTTAAATAACTTCCTGTTTATCCGCCATCAGCAAATCGTTTCGTGTCGTCTGCTGATTGGTGGAGTATACGACACGTAAACTAACATCGTTTTACCACGACATTTGAAGAATAACATTTTTAATATGATAGGCCTAACTAAACATAACAAAAATGTCAATAATTGTTAAGATAACACTTATTAATATTTTTTTTACAACTGATTGTTCAAAAATTGTTTATTTTTTACTTAGGATTTAAAGTTTTGCTGATGTCAAAAGCCCATTAAGTGCCAGCAATGATCAAACTCATGGAATTAAATCTTTAATACCGGCATTTTCCCGTGAGAACAAGGGGTGCCTTATGTTAGCACTCCATCGATCGATTATTTGCTGCTGATATCGATTAGAACACATCAGACAGGTGTAGACAGGGATGTTGGCTACGGCTACCTGGTGTACAATTTAGGCATACACATTTAGTTTTGAATATCATGACAGAGAAATAATTGCCTTTATTGGCTCTAGGTCATCTAGCCGTAGACTAAATCGCTTTATGGCATTCCGCCCCCACCCCAGACCAATTTCAGACTACGCAACTAGAACACGTTATGGGTGGTTTGGCTATGGTTAGTTCCATAAAAGCGTTTAGATCTATTTGCTATTCCAGATCTAGATTCGAGATCTAGAAATCTAGATCTAGATACTTTTTTTGGGTCGAGAATCTACGAAAATTTAGGCCTATTTAATAATTTATCTAACAAATCTAGCATATTTGAATAAAATTAAAAAAAAAAGTACTTTAATTAGGCCTAATGTTTAAGAATGTATTTTTTTTAAACAAACAAACAAACAAACAAGCCAACAAACAAGCATGACGTCTAGATTGATCTAGATCTAGATATCGATTCGATGTCCATTTCCATTATTTTTTCTTTCAAGACTTTTTTAAGCACCATTTTTTCAGTTAACTAGTGTAAAAACTATAACCGGAGTTTTGATTTTTCGTAAACAACGGTTGTTCACGACGCTATCGACTGATTAGTGATTTAGGCTAAGCTCTAAGGACAGAACTTGATTGAACGCTAGCAAATAACGATTGCTGATAGATCTAGATCTACCTCACTCGTTTGAAGGAAATTTCTAACATGTTACACATGAATCTTTGTGCTCTAATTTTAATTGTTATAACTGCAAATTTTGCATCTGGAGATAACAAGAAGTTGAGGGAACTAATGGAGGAAAAAGCAAGAGAACAAGGGATTGACCCCAACAATCTTAGACCTGGAGAAACATTCATGATTCCTCCAGAATTATCCGATGAAGAGGAGGGATCTCATCATATGCCTCAAGCTCATCGCTGTGATGGCTGCACTGCCGTTGCATTTCAAGTGAGTTACAAGTTAGTAGTTGTTAGGCCTACAGCTAACACTGTACTGTAGAGTGAAGGCCTAAACTTTTAAAAATGTATATGAACTAATTGTTACCAAGTCCTATAGAAAAGTCTAACAAACTCTAAAAGTAGTTAGTGAAAGTTAGAGAAGACTAAATAACTTACCTTAAGATGAGCTACACACATTTTAATATATATTAAGCCAATTTCTTTAGGTAATCTATCGTTTTGGGTACGTAAAATCGCCAGCGGCTATTAATGTACGAAAATGTTACCTCATTGTCAAGGCTTTAATAGAAGTATTGTGATATGTTTGTGTCAAATATTATAGATAAATGAATATTAAACCTAAATCAATGGCTAGGTATATCAATATAGGCCAGAAATTAACTTTAAACAGCAGTGTCTGCGAGCAAGATTTGCTATATAAACAGCAGCCATTTGTAAAATAGAGTGGCTTCCCCCTGAATCTCGCGCTATAAGCTTATAAAAATAAAACGTAAACAAGATGGCTGCTATGAAATGAGCATGGTTGCATCTGTTGGAAACATCGCTAGTATTCATTTATTACTGAAAAGTTTTAATTCATTTGTTTAAAAACAGGTACATAAATGAAACAAGGAAACATTTTTGTATTTTAAAAAACATAAATCCTCCTCAAAATGTGAAATAATTATTAAAATTTAAGGAGTCACCTGTTTTTCACATTACTAGTCACGGACGATTTTACGTACCCAAAACGATAGATTACCTTTCTTTATAGTCTATACTAGCCTATAGTATAGGCTATAATTTATTTAATTGCAATTAATTTAAGGCTCAGAGTACTGGTAAATTATGCAAACAACCAATTGTTTTTTACTTCATTCTTGATAAAGATATAAATAACAAACGAAAAAATGCTTAGGCCTAATAAAGTTAAATTAGCTTTGTAACCATGTCCCCTTATTTAATACAAAATTTTTCTCATAATGTGTTAAGTAAGTTGTTTAAAAATTGCATCGATGGGTATTTTCATTGTATATATTTGTGAAATTGTTAGATGGTTGTTAAGTGAAGGCTATTTAAGTTTTAATTACCCCAATTAGTGTTAATCACAAATGCTCCATGTAAAAAACAGTAATTCTTTATAAAAAATGTATAAAAACATTTCTGGCAAAGATTGAAAAAGCTTCCTTTTTTTTGTGTCACATGAAATTTTGGTTACAGTAATAATTAAATTTAGCAGAAGTCAGCGAGACCTGGAGTTATGTCATTCATCCCATTGAGGATCCCCACTGCGGATGCAAGTGAAACTAAAACCTGAAGCTCCCAATGTTTTTATTGACCTTATTACTTTTTATAATTAAATCTATTAAATCTATTTATATTGTATTCAACACACCTACAGGGTTGTTACTATTAGGATTATTATTTTAACCAGCCCCTACAAGTGTTGTCACTTTTAGACAAAATACAAAACTCTCCCCTTCACAATGTGGCTTGCTTCCTCCAACCATAATTTTAATGCTAAAATATGGAAGTAAAAGCATAAAGACATGTTATTGAAATTAAAAATAAAACTATAAAACACACACATACGATTCGGCTTGATAAAACAATAATTGAAGTCACCATATATTTCAGCTTGATAAAGCAATAATTGAAATTGACATATATTTCAGCTTGATAGAGCATTCACTAAAGCCCACAAGCAAGTGAAAAAAGGAGCTTTGCTGTCTCTAGCTGATGTCATTGATGTAACAGAGCTAGTGTGTGACAAAAGAATGAAAGAGTAAGTAGAAAGAACATTTGGTTGCTAACATATATGAAAGAGTAAGTAGAAAGGACATTTGGTTGCTAATATATTTAAATATGCCAATCACTCATCATGGTAACATGGTTAAGGGTTGTCTCACTATAGTTACATGGTTAGGGTTTTCACTCAGTCTGGTTTTAGAAACCACCCAATTATTTCTAGTTTCAGATACCACCCAATTATTTCTAGTTTCATATACAGTGATACAATTGACAAGCATTATTAATATTTACAGTTAAATGTTTCCTATTCTATAAATAACATACTTGCAAAGGACACTTGATTGATGTGATTTGGCAACCGCTGTTTTATTTGATTCCAGCGCAGCACATGGAAAAAACTGAAATCACTTTTATGTGATTTGGCAACCGCTGTTTTATTTGATTCTAGCGCAGGCCATGGAATAAACTGAAATCACTTTTATGTGATTTGGCAACCGCTGTTTTATTTGATTCCAGCACAGCACATGGAACAAACTGAAAGTCACTTTTTGTTTAGTCTGTTGACAGTCTGTCATCATAGATCAAAACGCCCTAGCAAAATTTCGGGCTCTTTTAACTGACAGATTCGGTTCAAAGTTGGCACGTGGGTCAAGACATAAAGACAATGCAATCTGACATTATATTTGACTTAATTGGAGGCCTTATTAATTTTTTATTAATTAATTAAAATTGTGTCCAAACTAGTAGGCAGTCTTATCCAACTATTCAGTGCTATTATATGTGCGTAATCATGTTTATTAGGTATGCAATAATTTTTAGTCATGCGGCTCTATTGTAAATTTAAAAAAGATTAAAGTACTGAAAAAAATTAATAAAAAACATTTTAATAACAAGCTTTTATATTAGAGTGCACTAAAAAGTAGAAAATAAATGACACATTACTATTTAAATAGCTATAAAGAAAAGCTAGATCAACAGACTCAAGATTTTTGAGAAGTTGTGTCCATTTCAATTATTTTATTTTCAAGTCAGTAAAGTAACTCTTCATTAATAATGTCTTGATGACATTTAGGAGAATAATTATTTTTCTGTAAGGGGAAATAACTAAGCTTCAATGATTTTGACAAAAATATTAATTGGGTATTTTCCCTTTGTACGAAAATCACTAACACCTAACTAATTCTTAAAAACTGAAAATTATCAGAATTATTTAATATTAAATCCTTTGCTTCATAATAATAACTGAAAAATAATTTGAATCCTAATAAGATGTGAAAAATAAAACCAATAGCATTATGTCACCCATTTCTTCACTGAGGACCTACTGTAAGGTTGAGTGTATAATACAAATTCAAACAGTTCTGATTTCAACTTGAGCAACATAATATGTAGTTTTATATTTTTAATAGAATGTGCACATTTTCAAATACTTCATTAAGTCTTTAACTTTATCTTTCTTTAATTTTTTTTCCCCAAAAAGAGACACTTAAATATGTTAGGTTTGACCCACAGCTATGGCCTAACATGTGAAAATAGTACCCACAGCTATGGCCTAACATGTGAAAATAGTACCCACAGCTATGGCCTAACATGTGAAAATAGTACCCACAGCTATGGCCTAACATGTGAAAATTGTACCCACAGCTATGGCCTAACATGTGAAAATAGTACCCACAGCTATGGCCTAACATGTGAAAATAGTACCCACAGCTATGGCCTAACATGTGAAAATTGTACCCACAGCTATGGCCTAACATGTGAAAATTGTACCCACAGCTATGGCCTAACATGTGAAAATAGTACCCACAGCTATGGCCTAACATGTGAAAATTGTACCCACAGCTATGGCCTAACATGTGAAAATTGTACCCACAGCTATGGCCTAACATGTGAAAATAGTACCCACAGCTATGGCCTAACATGTGAAAATTGTACCCACAGCTATGGCCTAACATGTGAAAATTGTACCCACAGCTATGGCCTAACATGTGAAAATTGTACCCACAGCTATGGCCTAAAAAATGTGAAAATTGTACCCACAGCTATGGTCTAACATGTGAAAATTGTACCCACAGCTATGGCCTAACATGTGAAAATTGTACCCACAGCTATGGCCTAAAAAATGTGAAAATTGTACCCACAGCTATGGCCTAAAAAATGTGAAAATTGTACCCACAGCTATGGCCTAAAAAATGTGAAAATTTTACCCACAGCTATGGCCTAAAAAATGTGAAAATTGTACCCACAGCTATGGCCTAAAAAATGTGAAAATTGTACCCACAGCTATGGCCTAAAAAATGTGAAAATTGTACCCACAGCTATGGCCTAAAAATATGAAAATTGTACCCACAGCTATGGCCTAAAAAATGTGAAAGTTGTACCCACAGCTATGGCCTAAAAAATGTGAAAATTGTACCCACAGCTATGGCCTAAAAAATGTGAAAATTGTACCCACAGCTATGGCCTAACATGTGAAAATTGTACCCACAGCTATGGCCTAAAAAATGTGAAAATTGTACCCACAGCTATGGCCTAAAAAATGTGAAAATTGTACCCACAGCTATGGCCTAAAAAATGTGAAAATTGTACCCACAGCTATGGCCTAAAAAATGTGAAAATTGTACCCACAGCTATGGCCTAACATGTGAAAATTGTACCCACAGCTATGGCCTAAAAAATGTCAATGATGTCAAGATGTTGTCTGGCCCTGGCCTGAAAAATGAGAACACACCTGGCATAGTGGAGGCTGGTGGCAAGTGGGAGAACAGGTCAGTCTCTTGATGGAATCTCTTTTCAAATCTGCACCCACACATTGTCTTTTGACACCATGTCAGATACTACCCTCAACCCTCACTAAGATGTTTCACCTGACCCCCACGCAGTATATATTATCTTTGACCCCCATTCATATATTCCCTTGTCACCTGACTAACCATCTCCCCTGACTAACCATCTCCCCCTGACTAACCATCCCCCCTGACTAACCATCTCCCCCTGACTAACCATCTCCCATCTCCCCCTGACTAACCATCTCCCCCTGACTAACCATCTCCCCCTGACTAACCATCTCCCCCTGACTAACCATCTCCCCCTGACTAACCATCTCCCCCTGACTAACCATCTCCCCCTGACTAACCATCCATCCCTGACTAACCATCTCCCCCTGACTAACCATCTCCCCCTGACTAACCATCTCCCCCTGACTAACCATCTCCCATCTCCCCTTGACCAACCATCTCCCCCTGACCAACCATCTCCCCCTGACTAACCATTTCCCCCTGACTAACCATCCATCCCTGACTAACCATCTCCCCCTGACTAACCATCTCCCCCTGACTAACCATCTCCCCCTGACTAACCATCTCCCCCTGACTAACCATCCATCCCTGACTAACCATCTCCCCCTGACTAACCATCTCCCCCTGACTAACCATCCCCCTGACTAACCATCTCCCCCTGACTAACCATCTCCCCCTGACTAACCATCTCCCCCTGACTAACCATCTCCCCCTGACTAACCATCTCCCCCTGACCAACCATCTCCCCCTGACCAACCATCTCCCCCTGACTAACCATCTCCCCCTGACTAACCATCTCCCCCTGACTAACCATCTCCCCCTGACTAACCATCTCCCCCTGACCTACCATCTCCCCCTGACTAACCATCTCCCCCTGACTAACCATCTCCCCCTGACTAACCATCTCCCCCTGACTAACCATCTCCCCCTGACTAACCATCTCCCCCTGACTAACCATCTCCCCCTGACTAACCATCTCCCCCTGACCTACCATCTCCCCCTGACTAACCATCTCCCCTGACTAACCATCTCCCCCTGACTAACCATCTCCCCCTGACCTACCATCTCCCCCTGACTAACCATCTCCCATCTCCCCCTGACTAACCATCTCCCCCTGACTAACCATCTCCCCCTGACTAACCATCTCCCCCTGACCTACCATCTCCCCCTGACCTACCATCTCCCCCTGACTAACCATCTCCCCCTGACTAACCATCTCCCATCTCCCCCTGACTAACCATCTCCCCCTGACTAACCATCTCCCCCTGACTAACCATCTCCCCCTGACTAACCATCTCCCCCTGACCTACCATCTCCCCCTGACTAACCATCTCCCCCTGACCTACCATCTCCCCCTGACTAACCATCTCCCATCTACCCCTGACTAACCATCTCCCCCTGACTAACCATCTCCCCCTGACTAACCATCTCCCCCTGACTAACCATCTCCCCCTGACTAACCATCCATCCCTGACTAACCATCTCCCCCTGACTAACCATCTCCCCTGACTAACCACCTCCCCCTGACTAACCATCTCCCCCTGACTAACCATCTCCCCCTGACTAACCATCTCCCCCTGACTAACCATCTCCCCCTGACTAACCATCTCCCCCTGACTAACCATCCATCCCTGACTAACCATCTCCCCCTGACCAACCATCTCCCCCTGACTAACCATCTCCCCCTGACTAACCATCTCCCCCTGACTAACCATCTCCCCCTGACTAACCATCTCCCCCTGACTAACCATCTCCCCCTGACCAACCATCTCCCCTGACTAACCATCTCCCCCTGACTAACCATCTCCCCCTGACTAACCATCTCCCCTGACTAACCACCTCCCATCTCCCCCTGACTAACCATCTCCCCCTGACCAACCATCTCCCCCTGACTAACCATCTCCCCCTGACTAACCATCTCCCATCTCCCCCTGACTAACCATCTCCCCCTGACTAACCATCTCCCCCTGACTAACCATCTCCCCCTGACTAACCATCTCCCCCTGACCTACCATCTCCCCCTGACTAACCATCTCCCCCTGACCTACCATCTCCCCCTGACTAACCATCTCCCATCTCCCCCTGACTAACCATCTCCCCCTGACTAACCATCTCCCCCTGACTAACCATCTCCCCCTGACTAACCATCTCCCCCTGACTAACCATCCATCCCTGACTAACCATCTCCCCCTGACCAACCATCTCCCCCTGACTAACCATCTCCCCCTGACTAACCATCTCCCCCTGACTAACCATCTCCCCCTGACTAACCATCTCCCCCTGACTAACCATCTCCCCCTGACTAACCATCTCCCCCTGACTAACCATCCATCCCTGACTAACCATCTCCCCCTGACCAACCATCTCCCCCTGACTAACCATCTCCCCCTGACTAACCATCTCCCCCTGACTAACCATCTCCCCCTGACCAACCATCTCCCCTGACTAACCATCTCCCCCTGACTAACCATCTCCCCCTGACTAACCATCTCCCCTGACTAACCACCTCCCATCTCCCCCTGACTAACCATCTCCCCCTGACCAACCATCTCCCCTGACTAACCATCTCCCCCTGACTAACCATCTCCCCCTGACTAACCATCTCCCCTGACTAACCACCTCCCCCTGACCAACCATCTCCCCCTGACTAACCATCTCCCATCTCCCCCTGACTAACCATCTCCCCCTGGCTAACCATCTCCCCCTGACTAACCATCTCCCCCTGACTAACCATCTCCCCCTGACTAACCATCTCCCCCTGACTAACCATCTCCCCTGACTAACCATCTCCCCCTGACTAACCACCTCCCCCTGACTAACCATCTCCCCCTGACCAACCATCTCCCCCTGACTAACCATCTCCCATCTCCCCCTGACTAACCATCTCCCCCTGACTAACCATCTCCCCCTGACTAACCATCTCCCCCTGACTAACCATCTCCCCTGACTAACCACCTCCCATCTCCCCCTGACTAACCATCTCCCCCTGACTAACCATCCCCCCCTGACTAACCATCTCCCATCTCCCCCTGACTAACCATCCCCCTGACCAACCATCTCCCCCTGACTAACCATCTCCCCCTGACTAACCATCTCCCCTGACTAACCATCTCCCCCTGACTAACCACCTCCCCCTGACTAACCATCTCCCCCTGACTAACCATCTCCCCCTGACTAACCATCTCCCATCTCCCCCTGACTAACCATCTCCCCCTGACTAACCATCTCCCCCTGACTAACCATCTCCCATCTCCCCCTGACTAACCATCTCCCCCTGACTAACCATCTCCCCCTGACTAACCATCTCCCATCTCCCCCTGACTAACCATCTCCCATCTCCCCCTGACTAACCATCTCCCCCTGACTAACCATCTCCCATCTCCCCCTGACTAACCATCTCCCCCTGACTAACCATCTCCCCCTGACTAACCATCTCCCCCTGACTAACCATCTCCCCCTGACTAACCATCTCCCCCTGACTAACCATCTCCCCCTGACTAACCATCTCCCCCTGACTAACCATCTCCCCCTGACTAACCATCTCCCATCTCCCCAGACTCTCCAACCTGTGCAAGGAGCTGATAGAGAAGTACGAGGAGGAGGGCATCTATGAGTTCTACAGGAAGAAGGGAGACAACAAACTGGCCGCCTCACTGTGTAAAACATATTGCAGCAAACAACAGATTCAACAGCTACAGAAAGATGAATTGTGAAACTTCTCATTAGTCACTCAACTCATTAGCTTGATGAGTCACAGATGATTAAACCACAAGTGTGTCATGTACAGGAGGAAATATGGAGCTGATAAGTTTTGATCAATCAAAAAAGTTTTTATCAATCAAAATTTTTTTATCTTCTGCAGCCGTTGTATGGCTTTTTAAAAATCAAATTTTTTCTGTGATGTTATTGGTATCATGTTTTTTATGAGGAGAATCTTCACATTTTTAACTTCACACTGATCTTCACATTTTTAACTTTACTTCACATTGATCTTCACATTTTTAACTTTACTTCACACTGATCTTCACATTTTTAACTTTTCTTTAGGATTTTAACTTGTGAATGTTTTAAATTGAAACTATGGTGTGACTGTTTAGAGATGTGTGATGGTTGTATGTGGTTGACATTAGAGATGTGTGATGGTTGTATTTGGTTGATATTAGAGATGTATTATGGTTGTATTTGGTTGACATTAGAGATGTGTTATGGTTGTATTTGGTTGACATTAGAGATGTGTTATGGTTGTATTTGGTTGACATTAGAGATGTGTTATGGTTGTATGTGGTTGACATGTAGGCCAATGTTTGGTGAAGACCAAGTGACCCAGAAAAATCTGTTTTGTCTTTTTGTGTTTGATGATGGCATCATTGAGAGATAATTAATGATGACACCCAACGAGAGATAATTAATGATGACACCCAACAAGAGATAATTAATGATGACACCCAATGAGAGATAATTAATGATGACACCCAACGAGAGATAATTAATGATGACACCCAACAAGAGATAATTAATGATGACACCCAATGAGAGATAATTAATGATGACACCCAACAAGAGATAATTAATGATGACACCCAACGAGAGATAATTAATGATGACACCCAACGAGAGATAATTAATGATGACACCCAATGAGAGATAATTAATGATGACACCCAACGAGAGATAATTAATGATGACACCCAATGAGAGATAATTAATGATAACACCCAACGAGAGGTTCTATTGACCTACTTTCTGTGATAACTAAATCCATCTGTGTCTTTAACAATTGAAAACATTTCACTACTAGTGCTAGTGACTAGCATTTGTAATTGACCCTGAGACCAATGAGTATACAACTTGAATGGGGGTCATATACTGAACAGAGTCATGTATCAAATCTCCTGGCCCATCATGTTGTGCTGTAGGTGGGTGAACTAACTGGTAGATTGTTCCTCTTGCTCGTCAGTTATTTATTATGTTCATTCTGTTGGAAATGTTGGGCTGTAGGTGGGTGAACTAACTGGTAGATTGTTCCTCTTGCTCTTCAGTTATTTATTATGTTCATTCTGTTGGAAATGTTGGGCTGTAGGTGGGTGAACTAACTGGTAGATTGTTCCTCTTGCTCTTCAGTTATTTATTATGTTCATTCTGTTGGAAATGTTGTGCTGTAGTGGCTGAACTAACTGGTAGATTGTTCCTCTTGCTCGTCAGTCATTTATTATGTTCATTCTGTTGGAAATGTTGTGCTGTAGTGGCTGAACTAACTGGTAGATTGTTCCTCTTGCTCTTCAGTTATTTATTATGTTCATTCTGTTGGAAATGTTGGGCTCATTATTTGGTTCTAACTACACATTTTTGACTTTGATAACCAAATCTGTTGGCCACCATTTGTAAAGTCTGCTGCTAGCATGTGCCTTGTAAACAAGTTAGTTGTTGCCTTGTTTGTATACTGCTGAAATCTGGAGCTTCTGACTAGATTGTCTCCCTTGTTCTATAAACTGCTGACAGAAATGATTTGTTTCCCTTGATCTATAAACTGCTGATAGGAATGATTTGTTTCCCTTGATCTATAAACTGCTGACAGAAATGATGTCAAATGATTCCCTCTATCATTCCATTGTGTCCCATGGGTTGAATGATGTACATTTGCTGTTGTTTGTAGTTTGCTGGTTTATATTTAAAGCTAGATCTGAATTTTCTGCATTTTTTTTTTTTGCTTACTTAAAAAAAATTGTTTTACATTTTATATCTGGTTGCCATTGTTGTATTAAAATGTTTGACATTTTTATCTTTCTCGCTTGTTGGTGTTGTAATGTTTTAATACATTAATCCGTTTCAACTTACTTGAACGCAGAAATATCCGTTTTTTATTTTTTAAAATTTTCATCTCTCTACTTTATTTGGGGGGTGTAGAATAATGAGGCATATTATCACCATAATAAAAGACAATTGATAGAACCAAAATCACTTGTATATTTAGTTTATTTCTAGATCCACCGATGAGAAAAATTATCAATATAAATAGTTATTAGTTTCATGGAGTAATTAAACAATGAATGAACAGCTAATTAGAGTAATTAAATAACATCTAATCAACAGGATCTGCAAGTTGTCTCATCAAGGATTTAAAAAAAAAATTTAATTTGTAAATAGAACTTCAACAAATTCAGTTTAGATCTCCCTACAGATTCATCAATAGCAAGCTATATGAGAATTATCCAACACAATCATGTGTTTTTTTTTCAACTAACAAAATAAATAAAGTCAAATTTTAGCGTGCAGTAGTGGAGTACATGAATAAAAGCATGTGCCAAGTCAATCAATGAGAAGCTTGATGGAGAAAAGATTAGAGGTTCTGTATCTGGGCTATAATTAGATGAGTCTATTGATCAGCTAGTGATTTAAAAAGACTGTAGCCAAGACAGTGGATTTCATGAAGATGTCCAGCAGAGTCCCATGGATCTGGGAAAAAATAATTTCCAACCTTTATTAACATTGACAGTAGATTGTGAGATTGATGATTGTAGTCTATGCTCACAATGTATGTCTGTTAAATCTAGGTTCATTGCTTTTAAGAAAATTATTAATTACAAGCTTTTTATTAACTTGCTTTCTCTGTCTGTCTTGCTGTCTGTGGCCATACATCGAAACTGATGAACAAAATTTTCAGCACTTCTAACTGGCCGATTTGTTTAAAACTTGGCACGTGGATAAAAAGACGCAATGACTATGCAATCTGGCATAACATTTGACTTAATTGAATGCCTAATTATTTTTTTTTTATGAATCAATGAAAATTTAGAAATTAAAGTAGGGTGGCTTACTATTATCCCGCACTATTAACCGCCCAAATTCATTTTCGTTTTTAATGCAATTTTTAAAAATGATTAATTAAGCTTTATCCAGGAAACACAACCATTGAAATTAACTGGTTGAGTATTAGCAAGTTACCTCTCTTAGTGGAAATAAAGCTCGTTGCTAGGCAACTGTAAAGCTGACCTACCATTGTTAGAAGTTCCTGTAGACCTCCCGACTGTTGATGGCCTGGATTGGTCGGTTGTTGTCGACCATTGGCAGCGGGTTGCCGTTACTGTCTGTCTCGTGGGAGACCAGGGTTCGAAACAACGCCAGCTGGACATTGAAAGAGTTGCAACAATACACATTGGCCGGCGGATTGTGTGTGGCTAATCAGTGCATGACTGACCAACTGTGGTAGGACTGACCAACTGTGGTATGACTGACCAATATTTGTATGACTGACCAACTCATGTATGACTGACCAACTCATGTATGACTGACCAACTCATGTATGACTGACCAACTCTTGTATGACTGACCAACTCTTGTATGACTGACCAACTCATGTATGACTGACCAACTGTGATATGACTGACCAACTCTTGTATGACTGACCAACTCTTGTATGACTGACCAACTGTTGTATGACTGACCAACTCATGTATGACGGACCAACTGTTGTATGACTGACCAACTCATGTATGACTGACCAACTCTTGTATGACTGACCAACTCATGTATGACTGACCAACTCTTGTATGACTGACCAACTCATGTATGACTGACCAACTCTTGTATGACTGACCAACTCTTGTATGACTGACCAACTCTTGTATGACTGACCAACTGTTGTATGACTTTCCAACTCATGTATGACTGACCAACTCTTGTATGACTGACCAACTCATGTATGACTGACCAACTGTTGTATGACTTACCAACTGTTGTATGACTGACCAACTGTTGTATGACTTTCCAAGTCATGTATGACTGACCAACTCTTGTATGACTGACCAACTGTTGTATGACTGACCAACTCATGTATGACGGACCAACTGTTGTATGACTGACCAACTCATGTATGACTGACCAACTGTTGTATGACTGACCAACGCTTTTATGACTGACCAACTGTTGTATGACTGACCAACTCTTGTATGACTGACCAACTGTCGTATGACTGACCAACTCATGTTTGATGCCACAAGTAAATAGAACCCACCTGTCTTGAAGACACCTGGATGGTGTCCTTGAAGACGGACCAGATGACCGTCTCGTGGCACCCTGGTGTGGTCAGACTGCCGTGGTACCGGTACAGGTCGCTACGTCTACTGGGCAGGATGGAGTTGATGGGGAAACTCGGGATGGTCACCGAGGTGTCTGGGGGGAGAAACAGCATTTCACTTGACCAACGGTCACCTTGTGTGGGCGACAGATAGTAGGTGACGCGACTTAAGCAAGAAAGCGTTATGCGAGGTGGCGTCAAGCGAGGTAGCTTTAAGCGAGGTAGCGTCAAGCGAGGTAGCGTTAAGCGAGGTGGCGTCAAGCGAGGTGGCGTTAAGCGAGGTGGCGTAGTGATGTCAGCCACTACAAACCTGGGTCCTTGATTGACTTGAGATAGTTGGTGATGTTGTTGAATAGAACGTTGTCACCAGAACTCACCTGAAACACAAAGTCAACTCCAAGTCAAGTGTATAAGTCAACACCATATCAAGTGTATAAGTCAACTCCAAATCCAGTGTATAAGTCAAGTGTATTAGTCAAGTGTATAAGTCAACTCAAAAGTCAAGTGTATAAGTCAACTCCAAATCCAGCGTATAAGTCAAGTGTGTAAGTCAACTCCAAGTGGAGTGTATAAGTCAAGTGTATAAGTGAAGTGTATAAGTCAAGTGTATAAGTCAACTCAAAAGTCAAGTGTGTAAGTCAACTCCAAGTGGAGTGTATAAGTCAAGAGTATAAGACTCCAAGTGAAGTCAACAGTATTGATAAACGGATATATGGGTGTTTTGATAGATGGATGTGTGGATAGATGGATGTGTGGATAGATGGATGTGTGGATAGATGGATGTGTGGATAGATGGATGTGTGGATAGATGGATGTGTGGATAGATGGATGTGTGGATAGATGGATGTGTGGATAGATGGATGTGTGGATAGAAGGATGTGTGGATGTATGGATGTGGGGATAGATGGATGTGTGGATAGATGGATGTGGGGATAGATGGATGTGTGTATAGATGGATGTGTGTATAGATGGATGTGTAGATAGATGGATGTGTGGATGTGTTGAAGTATGGATGTGTGGATAGATGGATGTGTGGATAGATGGATGTGTGGATGTATGGATGTGTGGATAGATGGATGTGTGGATAGATGGATGTGGGGATAGATGGATGTGTGGATAGATGGATGTGTGGATAGATGGATGTGTGGATGTATGGATGTGGGGATAGATGGATGTGTGGATAGATGGATGTGTGGATGTGTGGATAGATGGATGTGTGGATAGATGGATGTGTGGATAGATGGATGTGTTGATAGATGGATGTGTGGATAGATGGATGTGTGGATAGATGGATGTGTGGATAGATGGATGTGTGGATAGATGGATGTGTGGATAGATGGATGTGTGGATAGATGGATGTGTGGATAGATGGATGTGTGGATAGATGGATGTGTGGATAGATGGATGTGTGGATAGATGGATGTGTGGATAGATGGATGTGTGGATAGATGGATGTGTGGATAGATGGATGTGTGGATAGATGGATGTGTGGATAGATGGATGTGTGGATATGATTGCTGACCTCGAACAAAAAGCCCAGCACGGCCAGACCCTGGAACTGTGTGGCTGCAGCTGCCAGACTGCCCAGAGACTTCTTGTAGTGGACGATGTGCAGCTGGACGTGGAGGGGGAGACACGAAGACAAGGTGTTACGTCATTTGATGGGGGGGGGGGGGGGGCAAGCAGACAAGGTGTTACGTCATTTGATGGGGGGCATGCAGACAAGTTGTTACGTCATTTGATGGGGGGGGGGGGGGCATGCAAACAAGTTGTTACGTCATTTGATGGGGGGAGGGGGGGGCATGCAGACAAGCTGTTACGTCAGTGGATGGGGGGGGGGGGCATGCCGACACGTTGTTACGTCATTTGATGGGGGGGGGGGGCATGCAGACAAGCTGTTACGTCATTTGATGGGGGGCATGCAGACAAGTTTTTACGTCATTTGATGGGGGGGCATGCAGGACAAGTTTTTACGTCATTTGATGGGGGAGGGGGGCATGCAGACCAGGTGTTGCGTCATTTGATTGGGGGTGGGGGGTAGGGGCATGCAGACAAGGTGTTACGTCCATTTGATAGGGTGGGGTGGGGGGGGTGGGGGGCATGCAGACAAGGTGTTACGTCATTTCATTTGATGGGGGGGGGGGGGAAGAAGACAAGGTGTTACGTCATTTGGTGAGGGGGGGGGGGGGACAAGAAGACAAGTTGTTACGTCATTTGATGGGGGGTGGGGGCATGCAGACAAGGTGTTACGTCATTTGATAGGGTGGGGTGGGGGGGTGGGGGGCATGCAGACAAGGTGTTACGTCATTTCATTTGATGGGGGGGGGGAAGAAGACAAGGTGTTACGTCATTTGGTGAGGGGGGGGGGGACAAGAAGACAAGTTGTTACGTCATTTGATGGGGGGTGGGGGCATGCAGACAAGGTGTTACGTCATTTGATAGGGTGGGGTGGGGGGGTGGGGGGCATGCAGACAAGGTGTTACGTCATTTCATTTGATGGGGGGGGGGGAAGAAGACAAGGTGTTACGTCATTTGGTGAGGGGGGGGGGGACAAGAAGACAAGTTGTTACGTCATTTGATGGGGGGTGGGGGCATGCAGACAAGGTGTTACGTCATTTGATGGGGGGGGGGGGAGACAAGAAGACAAGTTCTTACGTCATTTGATGGGGGGCATGCAGTCAAGGTGTTACGTCATTTGATGGGGGGGGGGGGGCTTGCAGACCTGTTGATGCGTCATTTGATGGGGGGGGGGCATGCAGACAAGCTGTTACGTCATTGATGGGGGGGGGCATGCAGACAAGCTGTTACGTCATTTGATGGGGGGCGCATGCAGACAAGTTGTTACGTCATTTGATGGGGGGGGGGGGGCATGCAGACAAGTTGTTACGTCATTTGATGGGGGGGGGGAGACAAGACAAGTTGTTACGTCATTTGATGGGGGGTGGGGGGGAGACAAGAAGACAAGGTGTTACGTCATTTGATGGGGGTGGGGGGGAGACAAGAAGACAAGGTGTTACGTCATTTGATGGGGGGGGGGGGAGACAAGAAGACAAGGTGTTACGTCATTTGATGGTGACAAGTGAGATAAATGTGCTAGTTGTTACTTGATTTGATGAGTTTCTTTGTCCAGCCTATTGACGTGATTTTAGTCAAACTAAATTGACTTACTGTTACATACCTCCTACCCCCACCCCTCCCGCCTTTCACTCCGCAATACACATAAAAATAAAGCGGGAGGGATCTCCCCTAAACTTACTCGAATCTAACACTACGGGAAGATGGCAACGCGGGATATAGACATGTTTTTAAAATCTTTTTTTTAATATTTAAATTTAAAAATAAACCGGGAGAGATCTCCCCTAATCTTTCTCGAATTTTCTTATATAAAAAAACGGGATGGGAACTCGGTACATAGACAATATTTTTAATCCATTTTTATTTTCTTAAACTTTTTAAATTAGAAAAAAAAAAGAATTCCGCACCATTAGTACTTTATACATTCACGTGCGTTTTTTAAAAATCGGAAATAGCGTAAATTACTACTTCGGGTAAACAGAAATTACTCTAAATTTGACAGAAGGCAGAGAATTAGATCTTTTACTTACATGTTACATTTCTTTTATCTATCTGAAACAGTTCTCAAGTTATAAGCTTTTGATTTATTTTCTACTTTTCAGTAATTCATAATTTGTAAATTCGACACTACCAATGCTGCGACTGAAAATATTTTGCTTTAAAACACTATCAGTAGGTCGTTAAGAACGATTATCCTCAACCTTCCCCCTCCCCGCCCACATGAAGGCAGCCGTCCGGGACGACAGTTTACAGACTACAATGAAAAAATAAAGCAGACGAGCCGGCCCGCGGCATAACATACGCCGCTATTTAGTTGTTTCTAATTTTCAATAATTCATAATTTGTGAATTCGACAGTACCAACGCTGACACTGAAAATATTTCTTTAAAACACTGTTACGGGCCAGTTGTAGGTTAGTTTAGAATAGGTTAGAATAGTCTAGAACTAGGGGAGAGTGCATGTGTGAGTGGAGTTCACCTTACTGTGTAGTTACCCTTGTGTCTTGTAATCCCAAGGTCGAATGCGGGTATAAAAGGGGGAGTGAACGATTGTGGGGGGCAGTCAGCGGGTTAGTAGCGGTTAGGACGAGGGCTGTTATGGTACGCTTGAATGCATTGAGACGAATAAAAGTAGTGAAGTTAAACACGAAGCGTTGTTATTGATTTGAAATGAACCCAGAACGTAACAAACACTATAAGTAGCTCGTTAAGGACCATAACCCCCCCCCCCTTCCTTCCCTCCCCCCTCCCCCCCCCTACGTTTAAAATCGTTGGCTCTGCTTGTAAACATTTAGAGTGAACACAGCTCACTAAAACCATGTAGGGGTGGGGAGGTAGGGAGAGCGTTTGCAGCTTGTTTTCTAACGGCTCGAAGAAGAGAATTATATATATAGATTATAGGCGTCACTAATTCAACTCTGCTCTACGATTGTAAACATATAGCGTGAATCCCAGCTCACCAGACTAGTTGGGGTGGGGGTGGTAGCAATATGCTCTGGCCTCTGTGAAAAACCTATCTGTAAAGGACCATGACATGTGTGTTTAGTAATCAGCATATACCCGGCATTGCCCACCCTAACCACAACAAAGCAAAACCAAAACACACAAAAAAAAAAAAAACCGCAAACATAACACAAACGCAAATAGATATACAAACATAAACGAAAACACAAACCCAACCGCAAGCACAAACACCAACACAAAGAAAACACAAACACAAATGCAAACAAAAAAGCAAACGAAAACAAACCAAATCCAAACGCAAACATAAACTGAACTATAAACGCAAACCAAACACAAACACAAAGAAAACATAAACGCAAACATAAACGCAAAGTGCTCACAGTCAAAATTGCACCATGCTGGGGCGCCGTCGGAACCACCTGTTTCAGCTTAGTAAACGACTATAGTACCCCAACTTTTCATAGTCTTTAGCACTCACTTAAACGAACGTATGCGCCATAACGAACACGAGAAGGCCCGGATCGCCGAATAGTACTCTGTCGGCGCGCCGGAGGACGCCCAGATTTGATTTACTTACTGACTATAGTAACCTTTCTTATCCATAATCTATCGCACTGTTTAAAACGAAATTATGCACCATAGCACTCACAGGATAGCCCAGGGCGCCAAATCGAGCCTTGACGGGACGCCTACGGACGTGCCTGTTTTAATTTAGCGAACAATTATAATACCCCAAACTTAACCGCAAATGGTAAGAAGTAAACATAGAGGACATTTAGGAGCTGGCTCCATAACTGTTATTGATTAAAAATAATAAAAATTAGTAAACAGTACGCTGATGGTATAAAATAAATCAAAGGCAGTATTTAAAATACCTACAACATTGCACTTGATCTATCCCCGCTAATTATGTAATTATTTTTTTTCCCAACACCAAAACAAAGTAATAAAAAGTAAATTCCCTCCCCTCCCCGATGTAAGGTTTTTTTTAAGGGAAGTAATTGTGTTTTCCTAATTTATCAATGGACGTATGAATGCTAAAGGACTAAACCTAAATGTAAATAACTTTCAGACACAATTAGATATTTTGTGAACCGTGATACATTTAAAAAAAAATATTATTTGATGGACGTTTCGACAATTATCACTATATCTCAAATATTAGTAAAGGTATCCAATAGGTACTAAAGTACTAAAGTGACCCACGCTTTTCTTTATAGTAATTTAAATAGTAGTGTATAGTTTATTTTCTACTTTTTAGTGCATCATTACATAAAAGCTTGTTATTAAAACGTTTTTTATGAATTTTTTTTTATGAATTTTTTTGTCAGTACTTTACATGTTTTATTTACAATAGAGTTACATGACTAAAAACCATTGCGCGCCTACTGAACATCACGTTCAGTAGGCGCGCAATGGTTTTTGAACGCAGCCATTGAACGTGATGGCGCAGCTATTGAAGGTGATGACGCGTGTGGTGTGGTTGGATAGACATGCCTACTAATTCGGTCCAAATTTTAATTAATTCATAAAAAAATTAATTAGGCATCCTATTAAGTCAAATTTAATTTCAGATTGCATTGTCTTCATGTCTTGACCCACGTGTCAAATGTGAGTCGTATCGGTCAAGTAGAAGCGTCCGAATTTTCACTCCTGCGTTTCGGTCTAGACTGACGACTGACGAGGAAGTGAGTTAAACAAAAGCTTGTAAAAAATGAAGATTGTTTTACAACACCTTCAGTAGTAATTTTTAAAATCATAAATTTAGACGATGGGCACTTTAGACGTTTAACACTATGAGGATGGGGACTATTAAATTATTTTATTCCTTTGTAATCCGCGGTTAGCCACAATCGTACAGAATTTAAAATTATAAATCAGATATAATACATATACATATACAAATACATATACATATATATATATATATATATAGGCATATATATATATATATATATACATACATACATACATACAAATAAATATATATATATATATATATATATATATATATATATATATATATATATATATATATATATATATATATATATATATATATATATATATATATATATATACGTATATATATACATATATATATATATATATATATATATATATATATATATATATATATATATATATATATATATATATATATATATACGTATATATATACATATATATATATATATATATATATATATATATATATATATATATATATATATATATATATATATATATATATATATATATATGTATGTATGTATATATATATATATATATATATATATATATATATATATATATATATATATATATATATATATATATATATATATATATATATATATGCATATATATATATATATAATATATATATATATATATATATATATATATATATATATATATATATATATATATATATATATATATATATATATATATATATATATATATGTATGATTACAAAAATAGTATACACACACACACATATATATATATATATATATATATATATATATATATATATATATATATATATATATATATATATATATATATATATATATATAGCCTATATATATTATATTGAGAAGGGGGGGGGGTGACACCACCGTGTGATACTCGACCTATTATTGAAAAGTTGATATAGAACAACAAATTAAATATAACGGTGCTCTAGTTATCGTGTTCACAGACAGTCAGACACATAGATACACCAACAAAATTGTCCAGCCAATTTTTTCCGTTTCGATGACGCGTAAGACGCCAAGATTTTGATAAATTTGGATTTAGAATTTCGTCCTATTAAAGTAAGTCCCTTATACTCATTATAGGACAAAGTAATGAGATGTAAGATGGTAAAAACTGTCAAAATTTCATGTGATTTTTGTGCATTATTACAATACTTCCTTTATACTCTGTATATGAGAAAGTAATGTTGTTTATCCAAAACGGTTGAAAAATCATTAGTGCAGTGATGTAGGCGTGTAACTGTCCAGTTGATGTACTCTGAAATCATTGACTTTTCCTGACACAATAGTTGGGTCTGCTTTACACGGCTGGTCACCCCACCCCCTACCTCCTAGATAGGCCTGAGTTCTATAAGCCAGCAATTCTTACCTCCATGGGGTACGACTTGCCGTTGATGGTGTGTTCGGATCCCTGCCCCAGTGGAACTGGAACTGTGCAGCCACGTACGGCTCGGTCAAACCGGAACCGGAAATAGAAATCTCAGTGCCAGAGATGTCCACTTGAGCTGGTGAAGGTCACGCCATTATGTCACTGCCACATTTCGCTGTCACGTGTTACGTCGTCGTGTCACTGTCGAATGTCATTCCACAATGTCAATACACAATGTCACTATTACATGCCGCTGCCAGATGTCACTACTACTAACCTGCATGTCCACTGTTCTTGAGCTTCATGAGCACGCCGGCCGAGGTCTCGTAGTTCTTGTAGACCATGACAGGCAGGGGTTCCTCCACGGTGTAGAAGACCTCAATGTTGATGGGGGACTGGCTGTAGGCACCGCAGTTTGAGAACGTCTCACGCCAGTGGGTGCCTAGAGATACGGGAGTCACGTGTCTTTTGAGTCAGGTTGTGGTAGTGTTGTGTTGTGGTAGGGGGGAGCAAGGAGAGTAAGGAAGGCCTGGGGCGCCAAATAGCACCCTGTCGGGGCGCCGGCTGATGCCCTGTATTCGGTTTAGTGAACGAATGCACCATATCGCTCACGGGGTAGCCAGGGGCGTAAATCGATTAAAAATAATAATTAAAAATATTTTACCTACCACATTCAGTTTTGCCTTTTTCTCGACTCACAGCTCCCCCTAGACCTAAAACCTGTACACGCCTTTGCTAACACCGTACCAGAACAACCATTACACCAACACATAGATTTAATACTTACTTTCGCCATGATAGTAACCCCAATGCACATCTGCAGGAAGAAAATGTTCATGTTAGCTAACTCAAATGTTCTTAGTTTGTGGATCAGCCGGGCGGGGTATGATAGAATTGATTGTAGGAAAAAAGTCACAGGAAAAAAAAAACACAGGAAAAAGAAACACAGAAAAAAGTCACAGGAAAAAAAAAACACAGGAAAAAGAAACACAGAAAAAAGTCACAGGAAAAAAACGCAGGAAAAAGAAACACAGAAAAAAAGTCACAGGAAAAAAAGTCACAGGAAAAAGGCACAGGAAAACCAGTCACAAATATATATTTACATGGAATGTGTTAATACTTTTATGTATTAAATATTTATAAAGTGCAAATCTACTTAGATTAATTAAATATAATGAAATATGTGTAGGTTGTATACGTATAGTGATATTTATAACAAACGTAAATATTTAGTGTGCAGTATTTACCTTTTAATTTCTTTATACATATAATATTTAATAGAATTTAATAAAATGTTCCAGCCTTCTCCTTTTCATGGTATTTGTTAAATACTAACTTAAAATTAGCGCGAAATGGCATAAAGACGTTGCAAATCTGACTTGCTGCCCTCAACTCATTGCGACAATAGGTCAACCACCTGTACTGCCCACATTCATCACGCTCATTACATAACAAAGGAAAGGATCAAAACAGAAAGCCGACAAGGTACAAAGGCTGCCATTGACATAAAACGTCAACAACACACAATATGGACGGACATGGCCAACTGAGGAGAAATCGACCAAAGAACGGCAAAAAAACAAATTTAAAAAAAGCAGGCAAAACACAATGATGTGCCTAAATTTCGTTTATAATTAACATTTCTAGAGCGTATTTAACTAAATTCATTACAAAATTTGTGGTTGCTGTGTAAATTAGGTTACAGTATTTTTACTTATTAGTGTTATTTTAAACCATAATGATTTTATCGTTTATAAATATGCTACTAAAAAACCCCACATCAATACACACCCAAAATTTTACAATTCTCAACAATTAAAATCAAAATATTCATTATAAAATTTTTGTGACTTTTTCTGTGACTTTATTTCTGTGACTTTTTTTCCGAATAAAATTTTCTTTTGTGACTTTTTTCTATGACTTTTTTTCCTAGCAAAAACTGACTTTTTTTCTATTTTTTTTCCTGTGACTTTTTTTCTATTTTTTTTTCCTGTGACTTTTTTCTCGTTCACCGTAGAATTGTCACTAAATATGTTCTATCTTTTATCTGCCGAGCAAAAGACTGGGTCGATAAATTATGAACATTAAAAAAAATTTAACGACATTCCAAACTTAAAACAGGCATATAAACCATTTTATATACGCTACGTACCGAGTTGTACACTCTACTCTAACATAAATGTACGGGTATTTAGAAAACTATAAAAAGTCGATGCTATTACTTAGGGTGGGGTGTTAAGTGAGGTGTTAAGTGAGGTGTTAAGTGAGGTGTTAAGTGAGGTGTTAAGTGAGGTGTTAAGTGAGGTGTTAAGTGAGGTGTTAAGTGAGGTGTTAAGCAGGGCGTTAAGTGAGGTGTTAAGTGAGGTGTTAAGTGAGGTGTTAAGTGAGGTGTTAAGTGAGGTGTTAAGTGAGGTGTTAAGTGAGGTGTTAAGTGAGGTGTTAAGTGAGGTGTTAAGTGAGGTGTTAAGTGAGATGTTAAGTGAGGTGTTAAGTGAGGTGTTAAGTGAGATGTTAAGTGAGGTGTTAAGTGAGGTGTTAAGTGAGGTGTTAAGTGAGGTGTTAAGTGAGGTGTTAAGTGAGGTGTTAAGTGAGGTGTTAAGTGAGGTGTTAAGTGAGGTGTTAAGTGAGGTGTTAAGTGAGGTGTTAAGTGAGGCGTTAAGTGAGGTGTTAAGTGAGGTGTTAAGTGAGGTGTTAAGTGAGGTGTTAAGTGAGGTGTTAAGTGAGGTGTTAAGTGAGGTGTTAAGTGAGGTGTTAAGTGAGGTGTTAAGTGAGGTGTTAAGTGAGGTGTTAAGTGAGGTGTTAAGTGAGGTGTTAAGTGAGGTGTTAAGTGAGGTGTTAAGTGAGGTGTTAAGTGAGGTGTTAAGTGAGGTGTTAAGTGAGGTGTTAAGCAGGGCGTTAAGTGAGGTGTTAAGTGAGGTGTTAAGTGAGGTGTTAAGCAGGGCGTTAAGTGAGGTGTTAAGTGAGGTGTTAAGTGAGGTGTTAAGTGAGGTGTTAAGTGAGATGTTAAGTGAGGTGTTAAGTGAGGTGTTAAGTGAGGTGTTAAGTGAGGTGTTAAGTGAGGTGTTAAGTGAGGTGTTAAGCAGGGCGTTAAGTGAGGTGTTAAGTGAGGTGTTAAGTGAGGTGTTAAGTGAGGTGTTAAGTGAGATGTTAAGTGAGGTGTTAAGTGAGATGTTAAGTGAGGTGTTAAGTGAGGTGTTAAGTGAGGTGTTAAGTGAGGTGTTAAGTGAGGTGTTAAGTGAGGTGTTAAGTGAGGCGTTAAGTGAGGTGTTAAGTGAGGTGTTAAGTGAGGTGTTAAGTGAGGTGTTAAGTGAGGTGTTAAGTGAGGTGTTAAGTGAGGTGTTAAGTGAGGTGTTAAGTGAGGTGTTAAGTGAGGTGTTAAGTGAGGTGTTAAGTGAGGTGTTAAGTGAGGTGTTAAGTGAGGTGTTAAGTGAGGTGTTAAGTGAGGTGTTAAGTGAGGTGTTAAGTGAGGTGTTAAGTGAGGTGTTAAGCAGGGCGTTAAGTGAGGTGTTAAGTGAGGTGTTAAGTGAGGTGTTAAGCAGGGCGTTAAGTGAGGTGTTAAGTGAGGTGTTAAGTGAGGTGTTAAGTGAGGTGTTAAGTGAGGTGTTAAGTGAGGTGTTAAGTGAGGTGTTAAGTGAGGTGTTAAGTGAGGTGTTAAGTGAGGTGTTAAGTGAGGTGTTAAGTGAGGTGTTAAGTGAGGTGTTAAGTGAGGTGTTAAGTGAGGTGTTAAGTGAGGTGTTAAGTGAGGTGTTAAGTGAGGTGTTAAGTGAGGTGTTAAGCAGGGTGTTAAGTGAGGTGTTAAGTGAGGTGTTAAGTGAGGTGTTAAGTGAGGTGTTAAGTGAGGTGTTAAGTGAGGTGTTAAGTGAGGTGTTAAGTGAGGTGTTAAGTGAGGTGTTAAGTGAGGTGTTAAGTGAGGTGTTAAGTGAGGTGTTAAGTGAGGTGTTAAGTGAGGTGCTAAGTGAGGTGTTAAGTGAGGTGTCTTACTTACTTGGGTCGAAGTTGGCTTTCACCACCCGGTCATTGAGTGGCTGGACTGGGCGGGCGTTGAGGTTGATGGGGGAGTGGGTGTGGTCCTGGAGGGTGCGGAACTCTGTGATCTGGTTTGATATGGAAGACAGAAGCGTCAGATTTACTCTTAACCAAACGATAACCCTGACCCTAACTCTCAGTAAGATATAATGCGTCAAAAATTAATTACAATATTAATACAATCTGTTCAAATTATTTAATAAAATAAACCGGGAGTGATGCCCCCTAATCTTTCTCGAATATTTTTAGATAACACTACGGGGGATGTCATGTTGCATTGTCTTCATGTCTTGACCCACGTGCCAACAAAAAAACGTATCTGTCAGTTAAAAGTGCCTGCAATTTCGCTCTGGCGTTTCGATCTAGACAGACTGACGACAGACAGAGGAAGTGAGTTAAATTAAAGCTTGTTATAAAAATAAACCTCTCTTTAAAATTCTAAAAAATGAGTGTCCTTATAACTAGAGGCTGAGTAAAGTGACCGGATGTAAGATGAAATCCTCGTGTTGTGTATTACTGCTATCGCTGGCCTGAATAAGCAATTTCGTCAATATGCACTTTGTTTTATTTCCTCAACTGGAAACAATATAAATACTTCCCATTTTCTAAAGTGAAAGTTATTAATAGAAATTAGCCCACGCTTACTTGGGCTTCAGAGATGTTGATTGGCTCCTTGTAGACAGTCCACGTGACAGACTCGTCACACGGGGGAGTTGTGAGACTGCCAGAGTATCGATAAAACTGGTGGAACGATTCCGGAAGTATCGTTTTAATGGCAAATGGTTTAAAATCTACAGCAGTGTCTGTTGATTTAATAAAACAAAAAATGTTCTAGAATATAGAGTTGATATAAATAAGTGAAAAATATCCTAGAATATATTGTTAATATAAGCAAGTAAAAAATGTTCTAGAATGTATTATAGATGATAACATGGGAACCTTTCTGTGTTCTACTTTAAACGTGGTTGATTTATTTTGATTAAACAAGTTATGGTTTAGATTTAAGGAAATATTAAGGTAAAGGTCAGGGTCAAGTTGCAGGTCAAGGTGAAAGTGAAGATGTTGATCGAGGTCAAGATTAGGGTTGCAGACGGTAGATGGACGTAAGCAGACGGTAGATGGACGTAAGCAGACGGTAGATGGACGTAAGCAGACGGTATATGGACGTAAGCAGACGGTAGATGGACGTAAGCAGACGGTATATGGACGTAAGCAGACGGTAGATGGACGTAAGCAGACGATAGATGGACGTAAGCAGACGGTAGATGGACGTAAGCAGACGGTAGATGGACGTAAGCAGACGATAGATGGACGTAAGCAGACGGTAGATGGATGTAAGCAGACGGTAGATGGACGTAAGCAGACGGTAGATGGACGTAAGCAGACGGTAGATGGACGTAAGCAGAAAGTAGATGGACGTAAGCAGATGATAGATGGACGTAAGACTGAAGCAGACGGTAGATGGACGTAAGACTGAAGCAGACGGTAGATGGACGTAAGACTGAAGCAGACGGTAGATGGACGTAAGCAGACGGTAGATGGACGTAAGACTGAAGCAGACGGTAGATGGACGTAAGCAGAAGGTAGATGGACGTCAGACTGAAACAGACGGTAGATGGACGTAAGACTGAAGCAGACGGTAGATGGACGTAAGACTGAAGCAGACGGTAGATGGACGTAAGCAGACGGTAGATGGACGTAAGACTGAAGCAGACGGTAGATGGACGTAAGCAGACGGTAGATGGACGTAAGACTGAAGCAGACGGTAGATGGACGTAAGACTGAAGCAGACGGTAGATGGACGTAAGACTGAAGCAGACGGTAGATGGACGTAAGACTGAAGCAGACGGTAGATGGACGTAAGACTGAAGCAGAGGTAGATGGACGTAAGACTGAAGCAGACGGTAAATGGACGTAAGACGTAAGCAGACGGTAGATGGACGTAAGACTGAAGCAGACGGTAGATGGACGTAAGACTGAAGCAGACGGTAGATGGACGTAAGACTGAAGCAGACGGTAGATGGACGTAAGCAGACGGTAGATGGACGTAAGCAGAAAGTAGATGGACGTAAGCAGATGATAGATGGACGTAAGACTGAAGCAGACGGTAGATGGACGTAAGACTGAAGCAGACGGTAGATGGACGTAAGACTGAAGCAGACGGTAGATGGACGTAAGCAGACGGTAGATGGACGTAAGACTGAAGCAGACGGTAGATGGACGTAAGCAGAAGGTAGATGGACGTCAGACTGAAACAGACGGTAGATGGACGTAAGACTGAAGCAGACGGTAGATGGACGTAAGACTGAAGCAGACGGTAGATGGACGTAAGCAGAGGTAGATGGACGTAAGACTGAAGCAGACGGTAAATGACGTAAGACGTAAGCAGACGGTAGATGGACGTAAGACTGAAGCAGACGGTAGATGGACGTAAGCAGACGGTAGATGGACGTAAGACTGAAGCAGACGGTAGATGGACGTAAGACTGAAGCAGACGGTAGATGGACGTAAGACTGAAGCAGACGGTAGATGGACGTAAGACTGAAGCAGACGGTAGATGGACGTAAGACTGAAGCAGAGGTAGATGGACGTAAGACTGAAGCAGACGGTAAATGGACGTAAGACGTAAGCAGACGGTAGATGGACGTAAGACTGAAGCAGACGGTAGATGGACGTAAGCAGACGGTAGATAGACGTAAGACTGAAGCAGACGGTAAATGGACGTAAGACGTAAGCAGACGGTAGATGGACGTAAGACTGAAGCAGACGGTAGATGGACGTAAGACTGAAGCAGACGGTAGATGGACGTAAGACTGAAGCAGACGGTAGATGGACGTAAGACTGAAGCAGACGGTAGATGGACGTAAGACTGAAGCAGACGGTAGATGGACGTAAGACTGAAGCAGACGGTAGATGGACGTAAGACTGAAGCAGACGGTAGATGGACGTAAGCAGACGGTAGATGGACGTAAGACTGAAGCAGACGGTAGATGGACGTAAGACTGAAGCAGACGGTAGATGGACGTAAGACTGAAGCAGACGGTAGATGGACGTCAGACTGAAGCAGACGGTAGATGGACGTAAGACTGAAGCAGACGGTAGATGGACGTAAGACTGAAGCAGACGGTAGATGGACGTAAGACTGAAGCAGACGGTAGATGGACGTAAGACTGAAGCAGACGGTAGATGGACGTAAGACTGAAGCAGACGGTAGATGGACGTAAGACTGAAGCAGACGGTAGATGGACGTAAGACTGAAGCAGACGGTAGATGGACGTAAGACTGAAGCAGACGGTAGATGGAGGTAAGACGTAAGCAGACGGTAGATGGACGTAAGACTGAAGCAGACGGTAGATGGACGTAAGACTGAAGCAGACGGTAGATGGACGTAAGACTGAAGCAGACGGTAGATGGACGTAAGACTGAAGCAGACGGTAGATGGACGTAAGACTGAAGCAGACGGTAGATGGACGTAAGACTGAAGCAGACGGTAGATGGAGGTAAGACTGAAGCAGACGGTAGATGGACGTAAGACTGAAGCAGACGGTAGATGGACGTAAGACTGAAGCAGACGGTAGATGGACGTAAGACTGAAGCAGACGGTAGATGGACGTAAGACTGAAGCAGACGGTAGATGGACGTAAGACTGAAGCAGACGGTAGATGGACGTAAGACTGAAGCAGACGGTAGATGGACGTAAGACTGAAGCAGACGGTAGATGGACGTAAGACTGAAGCAGACGGTAGATGGACGTAAGACTGAAGCAGACGGTAGATGGACGTAAGACTGAAGCAGACGGTAGATGGACGTAAGACTGAAGCAGACGGTAGATGGACGTAAGACTGAAGCAGACGGTAGATGGAGGTAAGACTGAAGCAGACGGTAGATGGACGTAAGACTGAAGCAGACGGTAGATGGACGTAAGACTGAAGCAGACGGTAGATGGACGTAAGACTGAAGCAGACGGTAGATGGACGTAAGACTGAAGCAGACGGTAGATGGACGTAAGACTGAAGCAGACGGTAGATGGACGTAAGACTGAAGCAGACGGTAGATGGACGTAAGACTGAAGCAGACGGTAGATGGACGTAAGACTGAAGCAGACGGTAGATGGACGTAAGACTGAAGCAGACGGTAGATGGACGTAAGACTGAAGCAGACGGTAGATGGACGTAAGACTGAAGCAGACGGTAGATGGACGTAAGACTGAAGCAGACGGTAGATGGACGTAAGACTGAAGCAGACGGTAGATGGGCGTAAGACTGAAGCAGACGGTAGATGGACGTAAGACTGAAGCAGACGGTAGATGGACGTAAGACTGAAGCAGACGGTAGATGGACGTAAGACTGAAGCAGACGGTAGATGGACGTAAGACTGAAGCAGACGGTAGATGGACGTAAGACTGAAGCAGACGGTAGATGGACGTAAGACTGAAGCAGACGGTAGATGGACGTAAGACTGAAGCAGACGGTAGATGGACGTAAGACTGAAGCAGACGGTAGATGGACGTAAGACTGAAGCAGACGGTAGATGGACGTAAGACTGAAGCAGACGGTAGATGGACGTAAGACTGAAGCAGACGGTAGATGGACGTAAGACTGAAGCAGACGGTAGATGGACGTAAGACTGAAGCAGACGGTAGATGGACGTAAGACTGAAGCAGACGGTAGATGGACGTAAGACTGAAGCAGACGGTAGATGGACGTAAGACTGAAGCAGACGGTAGATGGACGTAAGACTGAAGCAGACGGTAGATGGACGTAAGACTGAAGCAGACGGTAGATGGACGTAAGACTGAAGCAGACGGTAGATGGACGTAAGACTGAAGCAGACGGTAGATGGACGTAAGCAGACGGTAGATGGACGTAAGACTGAAGCAGACGGTAGATGGACGTAAGACTGAAGCAGACGGTAGATGGACGTAAGACTGAAGCAGACGGTAGATGGACGTAAGACGTAAGCAGACGTACCGACACTCCTGATGCTGGCCAGACTTGAGACGATCTGTGAGAGGGCCGGGTTGTCGGTCTTAGAGATCTGCAAGGGCAAGGTCATGTTCAGAAGGGCAAGGTCATGTTCAGAAGGTCAAGGTCGTGTTCAGAAACAGGATAAGTTATACGGTAACTGATAAAGTTGAACAAAGTGGTGATAAAGTTGAACAAAGTGTTGATAAAATTGAACAAAGTGATGATGATAAAATTGAAGAAAGTGGTGATAAAGTTAAATAAACCGGAAGTGATCTCCCCTAAACTTTCTCGAATATTCTAATATAACACTACGTGGGATGGCAACTCGGAATATAGACATGGTTTTTGTTTACTTAAACTTTTAAAAATAGAATAAAATCTAGTAGAAAAATGAATTGCGCACCAAGCGAACGCCAAAACAAAATGTGCATAATAGTGCGCAATATTATTAGTACTTTATAAATTTACATGCGTTTTTGAGAAATCGGAAATTGCGTAAATTAGTATTTCCGGTCAACGGAAATTACTCAAAATTTGACAGAAGGTAGAGGATTAGATCTTTTACTTACATTTGAAATTTTATTTATCTATCTGAAATAGTACTTAAGTTATAGGCTTTTGAAAAATTCAAAGTAGAAAAAGTTCCACTTCCGATTATCGGAAATCGATCAAAAGTTGATTAGGATCTACGATTTTCATAAAATACATATATATGAAATTTCATCAACCTAGCTGTAACGGTACTCAAGTTTTCGTGTTTACACACAGACACACAGACACACACACATACACACACAGACATACGGACATAGTACTCAAGTTATAGGCTTTTGAAAAATTCAAAGTAGAAAAAGTTCCACTTCCGGTTATCGGAAATTGATCAAAAGTTGATTAGAATCTACGATTTTCATAAAATACTTATATATGAAATTTCCTCAACCTAGCTGTAACGGTATTCAAGTTTTCGTGTTTACACACAGACACACAGACACACACACATACACACACAGACATACGGACAAGATTGCAAAATTATGTTTTTCCGTATCAGTGAGGTGAAAAACGTCGAGATTTTTAAAAATCTCGATTTTTTTTTTTGCACGATTACAATACTTTCTCTATACTTCGTATATACGAGAAAGTAAAAAGTGTTGATACAGTTGAACAAAGTGTTGATAAAGTTGAAGAAAGTGTTGCTAGTCACCTTGAAGACAAAACCTAGAACAGCCAAGCCGTCACCTTGAGACAGGGCAGCAGCAAAGTCCGGGTACTTGGTGTTGTAGTGGACGATGTGGAGCTGTTACCGCACGGGATGAAAGTCACATGAATATTTGTTATCATAATAATAAATAATTGCATACAAATTTGATACACCAACAGAGCGCATTCATCAAGGCACACTCATAGGATACACACAGAGGTCCAAAGGGTTTCTTTCAGATTTTTTTATGGAAGGAGGAGGTACACTTGCTGGAACACCATGACACAAAAAGGAGACACCCATACGACACATTCATACAACACCTTCATACAACACCTTCATACGACACCTTCATACAACACCTTCATACGACACATTCATACGACACCTTCATACAACACCTTCATACAACACCTTCATACAACACCTTCATACGACACCTTCATACGACACCTTCATACAACACCTTCATACAACACCTTCATACGACACCTTCATACAACACCTTCATACAACACCTTCATACGACACCTTCATACAACACCTTCATACAACACCTTCATGCAACACCTTCATAGTCCACACATATTTGTAAACAAAAATGGAGCGCCTTGAGACTCGCTAATTAAATTAATATAATCAACTAGCTCCCGCTTTCAGGGCGTGACCTCTGACCTCCATTGGAAAAGTTTGAGAGCTGATCTGGTGTTCTGACCCCTCGCTTGAATGGGACCCCCAATGGAAGTGCAGCTGATTGGCCTTGAACTTGTGCGGAAGGTCACCGCCTGAGATGGCAACATCACGTGCTCCAGCTATTGAGACCGCGGCTGGCAGTAGCGAGAAGATTGAAATAAAGGTTGAACACAAATACTGGCAGAAACGTGATTAAGGGCTTGATCATAATTGATATAATTTTTAACCATTGACCCCCACCCCAACCCCACCCACTATATCTTGTCGTCACACGGCATAAAACCCAAACGTAATTTAGTCTTCTCAAATAACAAGTTTACACGTTTCAAATACTAACTTACTTGACCTGCAAGATCACCTTTTTAAGGCTGGGGTAGAGCAGTGACTCACCGGTGTGACCATTGTTGATCAAGGCCATGGCCAAGCCGTCAGCTGTGTCGTAGTTCTCAAAGAGCACCTCCCCCAGGGCTGGGTCAACCACGACGTCACCCTCGTAGATGTTGATTGGTGATTGGTGGGTCAGGGCGCACTTCTGGAACAAGTCTGACCAGTGGGACACACCTGGGGAACATACACACTGACCAGTGGGACACACCTGGGGAACATACACACTGACCAGTGGGACACACCTGGGTAACATACACACTGACCAGTGGGACACACCTGGGTAACATACACACTGACCAGTGGGACACACCTGGGTAACATACACACTGACCAGTGGGACACACCTGGGGAACATACACACTGACCAGTGGGACACATCTGGGGAACATACACACTGACCAGTGTGACACACCTGGGGAACATACACACTGACCTGTGGGACACACCTGGGGAACATACACACTGTCCAGTGGGACACACCTGGGGAACATACACACTGACCAGTGGGACACACCTGGGGAACATACACACTGACCAGTGGGACACACATGGGGAATATACACACTGACCAGTAGAACACACATGGGGAACATACACTGACCAGTGGGACACACATGGGGAACATACACTGACCAGTGGGTCACACCTGGGGAACATACACACTGACCAGTGGGACACACATGGGGAACATACACTGACCAGTGGGTCACACCTGGGGAACATACACTGACCAGTGGGACACACATGGGGAACATACACTGACCAGTGGGTCACACCTGGGGAACATACACACTGACCAGTGGGACACACCTGGGTAACATACACACTGACCAGTGGGACACACCTGGGGAACATACACACTGACCAGTGGGACACATCTGGGGAACATACACACTGACCAGTGTGACACACCTGGGGAACATACACACTGACCTGTGGGACACACCTGGGGAACATACACACTGTCCAGTGGGACACACCTGGGGAACATACACACTGACCAGTGGGACACACCTGGGGAACATACACACTGACCAGTGGGACACACATGGGGAATATACACACTGACCAGTAGAACACACATGGGGAACATACACTGACCAGTGGGTCACACCTGGGGAACATACACACTGACCAGTGCGACACACATGGGGAACATACACTGACCAGTGGGTCACACCTGGGGAACATACACTGACCAGTGGGACACACATGGGGAACATACACTGACCAGTGGGTCACACCTGGGGAACATACACACTGACCAGTGGGACACACATGGGGAACATACACTGACCAGTGGGTCACACCTGGGGAACATACACACTGACCAGTGGGACACACCTGGGGAACATACACACTGACCAGTGAGACACACCTGGGGAACATACACACTGACCAGTGGGACACACCTGGGGAACTTACACACTGACCAGTGGGACACACCTGGGGAACATACACACTGATCAGTGGGACACACCTGGGGAACATACACACTGAACAGTGGGACACACCTGGGGAACATACACTGACCAGTAAGACACATCTAGGGAACATACACTGACCAGTGGGACACACCTGGGGAACAAACACACTGACCAGTGTGACACACCTGGGGAACATACACACTGACCTGTGGGACACACCTGGGGAACATACACACTGACCAGTGGGACACACCTGGGGAACATACACACTGACCAGTGGGACACACTTGGGGAACATACACACTGACCAGTGGGACACACCTGGGGAACATACACACTGACCAGTGGGACACACTTGGGGAACATACACACTGACCAGTGGGACACACCTGGGGAACATACACACTGACCAGTGGAACACATGTAAGAGGGGGGATCGCTTACCTTCTTCGCCATTATAACTCCAGTCTGGAAGAAAGAAAAGTTGTTCACGTTTTAAATTGAGTATTTTGTTAGTAATGTTTGTTCTTCTGTCCCTCGGTGGTTTTGAGGCAGATGTCATAATTCCATTTTGACACAACACTAACGTAGTAATTTTGTTCATTTTTTCCAGATACATTAGTTTAAGAAGACAACGTAAAAATATATCATTTTTAAACAAATTAGATATTAAATTCGCCATGTAAAAGATGGTGAACGGAAAAAAAGTCACAGGAAAAAAAAAACACAGAAAAAAAGTCACAGTTTTTGCTAGGAAAAAAAGTCACAGAAAAAAAGTCACAGTGGAAAAATTTTATCGGAAAAAAATGCACAGAAATAAAGTCACAGAAAAAAAGTCACAAAAATCTTTTGAGAAATAGTATTATTAATTTGATAAACATTGTAAAATTGTGTATGTTTATTGTTGTGGGTTGCATTTTTTTATAGCATAACTTATTTATAGACTTTAAAAGCATTATGATTTATAACAATTGTAAGTAAAAATACTCTAAGATAATTAACACAACAATCTCATCATTTGTTACGTATTTAGTTAAATACGCGGTAGAAAAGTTAATTATAAAAGAAATTTAGGCACATTTTGCCGTAGGCTATTCTCTGGTCGGCCTCTCCCCAGTAGGCTTTGTCCGAACATATTTTGTGTTGTTGACGTTATGCGTCAATGACAGCCTTTGAACCTTGTCGGCTTTCTGTTTTGATCCTAAGTTTTGTTATGTAATGAGCGTGATAAATGTGGGCAGTAAAGGTGGTTGAACTAAACATAACTATTGTTGCCATGAGTTGAGGGCAGCAAGTCAGATGAACTTACCACTTCATGGTAATTTAATATTGGTATTTTAGAAAAAAACACGATGAAAAAAGTGGACTTTGGAGGATTCTATTAAATGCTACTAATCTTAAGTTTAAAATAATTACAATCTACATACTTCATAATAAATATTTTTAGATGAATTATAAAAATTCCTATGCGTATACAGCCTACACACATTACATTACATTAAATTAATCCTAAGTTAATTTGCACTCTCTAAATATTTAATACATAAAGGTATTAACAAATATCATGCAAATATATATTTGTGACTTTTTTCTAGATCTAATCTTTACAACTACAAGTAGCATGTTTTTGAAATGCTGTGAGAATGTTCCGATTTCACTCTGACTTAGAGATATACATTATTTACTGTATAAGGAACCATCCTTAACCTTAGCCCTTTTATTGATGCTCAGCTATTGAATGAAATAAGACTGAAGCTTTTAGACTATGAATGGTGCAGAGGCTTCACATATTCATTGACTCTCATGTAATGTAACAACTAGCTGAAGACCGGCTGTGCTGTTCATCACCTTCCTACAGCAGAAGTATGTATCCACTTTTAATGTTGAAATGTAGCATAGGATGTGGCAGGATATATACAGAAATTTGACTATAGGAATTTTGTTATAGCTCTGGAAATTGTGAAAAGCCACATTCCAATTAAAATAGTTCAGGTTTTTTCCAAGTCATTAAAAAAGAAAATTTGTTTGAAATTTGCTCTTACTTCTGGTCTAAATTTTTTCTTATGAAAGTGGAATCCTAACACTAACAGTGAAAAGTTGCATTTTTATCAACCAGTCATTTAAAATTACCAATCGTGATTATCACCTAGCAATTGTAATTGTTTTAAAGAAACTTTCTGTAAACCTTACAAGGTACTGATTATAGCCCAACTTTAGGTATACTATACATCATGCATCTCTTACTGCTACTGTAAACAGAAAGAATCATGGAGAGCCCAGTTCCACCACCAGTTTCTAAAGATACTTTAGAAAACAGCATGCTCATCCCTGTATCACAACATCCAGAATATGAAAGCACACAAACTCAGTCGGACATGAACTTTGATAAGGTTAAACTACAGCAGCCAAAAAAACAAGATCATGGACAAAGAGATGCAGCAGAGTTATGTGACACCTGCATGCGCTGTCAAGATGGTTGTTTTATCCCTTTTTTATGTTGTTGTATTTGTTTGCTTGAAAGCAGGTGATGGTTATCAGAGAAATTTAACAGTATGACAGCTAGACTCACTGATACAAATAAACAGACTTGATGTGATATTAACAAAAATAAATAAATAAAAAAAAAAAAAAAAAAAAAAAAAAAAAAAAATATTTGTGACTTTTTTTCCTGTGACTTTTTTTCCTGTGACTTTTTTTCCAGTGACTTTTTTTCTGTGTTTTTTTTTCCTGTGTTTTTTTTCCTGTGACTTTTTTTCCTACAATCGTAAAAGATACCTAAATTCAAGAAAAAATGGGATATAACAGGATTAGGTATGACACCAGGGATCGTGTGATGAACTGTTGGGATGACTCTCCCCCATCCACAGGGATCTCCCATCTCCCCCACCCACAGGGATCTCCCATCTCCCCACCCACAGGGATCTCTCGCCTTCCCCCCCCCCCCCTAATCTCAAGTAATTTCGCACACTATTAATAACACACCTACGGACAATAGGTTCGATTCCTCTATAGTGCACGCCACTAGCCCTACTGCTATGTTACATTTGATGGGATCTAGTTGCAAGTAAACTAAACCGGGAGTAATCTCCCCTAAACTTTCTCGAATCCTAATACATAAAAGCCCATGTGCGCACTCCTCTCTCTCTCTCTGTCCGCAATATTTTTGGCAACCTCGTCAGTCTGTTCAGCGATATATGGAGAACTTAAAGATACGGACTTTTGTTGAAAATAATATGGTGGTATAAGTGTATAAACTAAATTTTATTCAAAGAAGGAAAGTAAACCGGGAGTGACCTCCCTTAAACTTTCTCGAATATTCTTATATGAAACAACAGGGGATGGCAACTCGGGATATAGACATGATTTTTAATCAATTTTAAATACTTAAACTTTTTAAAATAGAATAAAATCTCGTTGCAAAAAGGATTGCACACCAAGTGAGCGCCAAATAAAATGTGTGTTATATTGCGGAATATTATTAGTACTTTATAAATTTACATGCGTTTTTTTTAGAAATCGGAAAAAAGCGTAAGTTAGTACTTCCGGTAAATGGAAATTACTCAAATCTTGACAGAAGGTAGAGAATTAGATCTTATACTTATATTGTGAAATTTCATTGATCTATCCGAAACAGAACTCAAGTTATAGGCTTTTGAAAAACTCAAAATAGAACAAGTTCCACTTGCGGTTATCGGAAATCCCTGAAAAGTTGAAACAGAACTACAAATTTGATATAATACTTATATATGAAATTTTATCAACCTAGCTGTAACGGTACTCAAGTTACAGAGGACGTAATTACTCTGCTATGCTGGGTTTATGCTTTGGTTTAAATGAACCGATAAAATAAGATTTCGATTTCAGCAACAGAAGTTAATTGAAAACAATCGACATGGATTTAGTTTTAAATGGATTTTTGACATTACTAACCAAAATCAACATGTTCAAATGGAAACACACATACACACACACACGGTCAGATTTCAATTTGTTCCTCGGCCACAGTGGTACAAATAGGCTTTTAGACTGGTGTTACATCAGCGCAGAAAAAGCGACATTATACACACACAGAGACACACACACACACACACACACACACACACACACATATATATATATATATATATATATATATATATATATATATATATATATAATCTATAATATAACGCTGCTGGTAGTGTGTCAGTCCGTCAGTCATCGCTATAGATTTTGGAACCATAAAAGTAAACACATCACATGTCGTGCTTTTTACTTGCATCGCAGTGTCTTATTATAAATGATTGGGTAGAGTTTATTTATATAACGATTAAAATGTTTTGTATAGTTGGCACTGTTTTTACACTTTCGCATAACGTGAATAAAATATTAAATAAACGCACATTGCTAAAACATAAAGATCAATGTCAAATAATACTTTTGCTTAGATGACTAGAAAAATTGGATACATTGTAATAACAGTAGGGTTAAAAAACTAATTAATTAAAATATTTTAAATAAATTTGTCAGGGGAGGTAATTTAAAAAGAAATTCAACTCACACTAATAAAAAAATGAAAAAGCAAATTCTGCGGACGTGCAGAAGGACATTAGTTTTAGAATATTATAATTAGCATAGATTGATAAAATGCACCTTGTTCGTTATAAAAGGGAGGCAGTATCATAGCAACTATTTGAGATAAGCTAATCAGTAAAAATCTTTTGTCACTTTTCTAATTTTCAATTTAAAAATAAATACCGCTAATCATGATTTTTGAAAGCTTAAAAAATTAGAAATAATGTAATTCATATATAAAACACCATTCAGATATAGTCATCTGCATGCAGGGACCTGTATAGTTAACCTGTAGCAAAGACCTGTACAGTTAACCCCTGTAGCAGGGACCTGCACAGTTAACCCCTGTAGCAAGGACCTGTACAGTTAACCCATGTAGCAGGGACCTGTACAGTTAACCCCTGTAGCAGGGACCTGTACAGTTAACCCCTGTAGCAGGGACCTGTACAGTTAACCTGTAGCAAGTACCTGTACAGTTAACCCCTGTAGCAGTTACCTGTACAGTTAACCCCTGTAGCAGTTACCTGTACAGTTAACCTGTAGCAGGGACCTGTACAGTTAACCTGTAGCAGTTACCTGTACAGTTAACCTGTAGCAGGGACCTGTACAGTTAACCTACCTGAGCAAGCGACTGGCTGTAAAAAAACAGCTGTAACGAAGAGTATGATGTGTACAAGCATGTCCGACTTATTGTGTGACTGTAGATAGACCCGGCGACGGCAAGTCGATGGACCAGCAAAGCTCTACACCATTGACCAAGTTTTCTGGTGCAAATCAGCTTTTTATAGAAGCCGGCAATTTTTTATTCGGAGGCCATAATACAAATGTTGGAAATATCAGCCGGACCGCGGGCCGCTCCGGCCTCCAAACATTTCCAGAGAATTCATTTTTTTCTTCTCACAGATCTAACATGACTGGCGCTAACTTGCGGATATGTTATTTAATTACTAGCGTGCTGCAATCTAAGAAGAGAATAAATTCAAGGACAAATGTTTGATAACCTTTAATTATTATTAATCATAAAGTTTTAGACCACGGGTTCCCAACCTGGGGGTCGCGACCCCCCTGGGGGTCGCGAAGGTCTTTCTGGGGGGTCGCCAACTGGTATACTAAACCTTAATAATTTGAAACAAAACATAAATATTTAGAAGAATTTTTGAAATTCGGCTTCATTAACATCACTGGAAATGTAATAGAGAAGAAAAAAAGCGCACTGTGCAATGTTGTTCTCAGTCACGAATCTATAAAATCTTCAAAACTAAAACGTGATTTGAGACGAGTCATTCGGAACACACCAAAAAATATATGGAGTTCTTTCGTCGATAAGAAGCTAGTTGCAAACGCCAGAGACTTGATCGAACAGGAAGTTTTCAGCAGCATTAGTGCAAGCATCAAATGAAGTCGCAATAGAAAATGCCAAGCAAAAAAAAAAACAATAGGAGAAAATCTCATCAAACGCTGCATGTACGTAAATGTTAAATAACACATTTTTATTGAAATTAAGCTTTCACCATTGTTTGCTTTTCAAGATAATAAATCAACAGACGTGAGTTTGTGTTCGCAGTTGCTGGTCTGTGTCTCTATTCATGCGGATGATAGCAAAGATAAATGAGTTGCTCTTTTGTGAAGATAGCATGGAGAAAATAAATATCTTTTTTGCAACTGGATGATTAAATTGGGTTAGAACGGCTGTGGGGGTTTGTACGGATGGTGCGCCATCTATGTTTAGCTCAAAATCGGGCTTTCAGAAAACAGAAAAGATTTAGCTCCCTAACCACTGCCCTAACCAATCGACATCAAGAGTCCATTGCTAGTATAAGTCGTAAATTATATAAAATCTGGAGCCTTCAAAGAACTGAGCAAAAACATTAATATAGATCACGAGGTTCTGCTCTTCTACACTACAGTACGCTGGCTGTCAAACGAAATGTTGTAAATTGTGTTTTTGAATTGAAATCTGAAATCAAATTGTTCTTGGGAGTGCAAAGGAAACAAGACTTTTGTTATACTTAAAACGACATAGAGTGGTTGTAGAGAGTATCAAACCTAGCAGACATGTTCGAACATCAAGATAAGCTTAACCTGAAGCTTCAGGGAAAATGGACGAATATTATAACTTTCCATGATAATCTCGGGGCATTTTTATCAAAGCTGCAAAATCGGTAAAGAAAACAAATCTTGGAAATATTGTAAATTTGAGAAACTCTGCGGTGTGGTAGATGAATCTGATTGTGATATAATTAAAATTTTGAAAGAAGCGATTACTGGGCATCTTGAATCTCTTGAAAACGAACTGTATCGCTATTTCTCTGAGCTGAAAAAAGAAGAAACTGCATTTACGCATTACCCATTCTCTTCTTCCCTTGATGTTGCCAGCATTCCCGATGAATTACAAGATGAATTCTTTGATTTGCAGAATGATTCCGTGTAAGATGAAAAACTGCAGACACAATTTTGGTGTAGTATTCACCATTCATACCCAAACGTAAAATTGATTGACTTTTCGAGAATATATTTTCAACACTTTTCTTCGATTAAAAACAAAATTAAGATAAATATAATGACATAGGTTGGCGTTAACAAATTTTTTTTAAAATCAAAAACTTAACCACGAAGGTTTAGTGAATAGTATGCAATTTTACTCATTCTATTAAAACAGTTATCAAGAGTAGTTCTTATTGAAAGTCTACTAGAAAATCTTATTTTAGTGCTTATTAATTTCCATACTAATTTCGGCTTTTTAATTCTATGGGGGTCGCGGGTCACTTAATTTTTATAAAAGGGGGTCGCCACTCGAAAAAGGTTGGGAACCACTGTTTTAGACGCATGACCAAATTTTCTGTCCACATATATCGATATTGTTCCGTCAGAACCCCCCCCCCCCCAGACCTTAATCTGTACGTGAACGTTAATCATCCTCCACGTGAGTCTGGTAGAACGCCACTGCAGGGGCGTCGGGTGCGACTCTTGGACTCATTGACTGTAGGAGCCATAGTGCTGATAGGTGAGTCCGGGGCGCCCGCAGTTACCCGACCGTCGGGCGGCCGGCGGATGTTTCTGGTTCGATTTGGTACTCTTTAATATGAAATTAGGTGCCATATTGCTCACGGGGGAGCCCCGGTTGCCCAATTGCACTCTGCCGGGGTGCAGAGGACTTGCCAGATTTGATTTATTCAACGATTATAGTGGCCGTCCGTCTCCATAGCACATTGCACTCTTTAAAACGAACGTAGCCGCCATAGTGCTTACAGGGGAAGCTGAGGGCCCCACTAACTGCCGGGGCGCCACCTTTCAGAAAACTGATTTTTTCACTAAAACCTTCCCAGGAGTATTCTCAACAGCTTCCCAAAAGTTTCATGGCGATAATGTATAAAGAACACGCATACACACGCACAAACACACACACTCATCCACACACACTCACACGCACACACACATAGACACACACAAATAGCGACATACTTTCATTTCTCTCTCTCTCTCTCTCTCTCTCTCTCTCTCTCTCTCTCTATATATATATATATATATATATATATATATATATATATATATATATATATATATATATATATATATATATATATACATTTACATTTACTAGCGTACCGTCCGCGCATTTCCGCGGTCTCATAAAAAGCCTGACGCTATATTTTAAGAATATTTCATCAACGCGTTTCCACTCGTGTATTTTTCAGAAGTATGACCTTTTTTTTTAAAACTGAGTTATTAAGTGAAAACAGCGCATGCGCTAAATTGGATCTGAGATGTTGGGGCGCGGGTTTTTTTTACACTCTCGCTCAGACGCCCAAGGGCGTGCCGAAGAAACGCCTTCAGTGTACTTTAATCACCCTCCGTAATAGTGAGATAGAACACACCCCGGCAACCGCCCATGTATCGTGAGCTAGAATAATTGTTAATATATTATTACGGTTATTTCTTACAACAAAATACCCACTTGTGAATCCCTTAAGCTTACATCTGAGATCACTGTTTTAACTGGTTTCGTAACTTTAATTCTCTGACATTTACACCCGATTGTAAGTTCCACAATTATAAAACACGTTAAAACTGCAACTCGCTCATGGAAAACCTTTAATCTCCCACACTTAATCACTTAGACTTTTAATCCACCCCTTAATCCCCAACAATTTTAATCCCAATAATTAATCCCATAGACGTATGATCAAATAACAGCCACTTTAATAGACGCCCCTGAGAGAAAATAAAATTCCTACTTTTACCATAGGTCTAAATATTCCTTATCTTCAAAGTAGACTCCAAAGTTCAAAGCAAATGAACCAATCATAATTTATACCTGGCCCTATCTTGACCTACCCACTGTCCAAATACACGTTCCCACCCCCTATATTGCCGAAATATATCCGACCTTCAGCCTTCACCTTACAGCTCCATACTTTGGCCGAAAAAGTGCTATATCGTGACGTCGCAACATCATTTTATTTTCAAATTTGTGACGTGGCTTCTGTTTCGGCGTTTAGGTGAATCGATTTTTGGACAAATATTACACATTTTGACATTGCTGCAATTTTTGCAGTCGAACATGGAAAGCTTGAAATGGTTGTACAAGTTGAACATAACAGCCACCATACATACCACATGTGTAAGTTTTACCAGCATGATCGGACGCTACAACACCCTACCACACCTTACCACACCTTACCACACCTAACCACACCCAGCCACACTCCACTACACCTAAACACACCTTACCACACCTTACCACATCCTACCACACCTAACCACACCCTATCAAGGGGGGGGGGGGTAAATCTGGTTAAAGTAAATATTTTCTATACACATTTACTATTTTTTCATGTCGGGTGGGGGGGGGGGGGCAGGGGGGGTACATATGTCCAAAATGGGTTGTAAAAACAAATTAAAATGTCATTTTAGCTGCATTTTTGCATTATAAATAGTTTGAGGGGGCGTGCAAATCGAAAGTTTGAGGAGGGGGGGGGGGGGTGCACATTGAAAATTTGCTCCCGAGGAAGGCGCCAAATTGAAAGTTTGTCCCCGGGCGCCGGGAAGGGTCGCTACGCCTCTGGGTGGGGGGGGGAGGTAGAAGTATTGCGTCACCCAAGCCCCATTCCTACCACACCAAGCCATACAACCCTTTACCTTCCACAACCATCCACACTCAACCCCCATCTCTACCACAACCATCCACACTCAACCCCCATCTCTACCACATCCATCCACACTCAACCCCCATCTCTACCACATCCATCCACACTCAACCCCCATCTCTACCACATCCAACCACACTCAACCCCCATCTCTACCACATCCAACCACACTCAACCCCCATCTCTACCACATCCAGCCACACACAGTAAAGCAAGCACAATACTTTCCTAACGTCAATAAATTGTACACAAAAATTTCAGCCTTATCCTCTTTGCTGTAAATCTAAAAAAGTTTGGTTGGATTATCTTTCTTGTCTAGCAACCAGTGCAGTCAGTGTTTGCCTAGAGCTGCTCGTATCTCTTGAATTTATAAATCCTGTCTGTGGCGGCCGCTAGCCACACAACTGCACTGAGAAAGATATCGAGAGCGGTAAATCAATTCCTTAATAGAACGTGTGCACATTCAAGTCAGTGCCTTTTTTTTCCGGGGGAGGGGGGCACTAATGTCTTAATACTTTGATACTTGGGGGGGGGGCGGTATACATTTTCCGGGCGGGCGTACTCTGGTAAAAGTATATATTTTCCATATAAATCATATAAATTCCATTTCGTTCGGGGGTGGGGGGAAAGGGTCTCGCCCCCCCCCCCCCGAAGAGATGCCTGGGAACCTCAGAAGGGAATTATTTGTTTGAACTTGATTCCGATCTCCAACTGGTTTAGTTAATCATCTCTGTGGGAACCTCAGAAGGGAATTAAGGAGAGGTTTAATGTTAGGATTAGACGGGGTGGGGGGGGGATTATACAGCGAGGTAGTCGGCAGGAAGGTGGAAATAATGTCCTGTTTCTCTATAATTATAATTGTTTAACAGCTACGTGCATTGTTAGGATTAGGCTGTGACGTATTTTTATTTAGTGAAGTGTGCCGAACAGATTCCCAAGATTTTCAATATATAACATAGCAACCACGCCCTTTTCTTAATTATTAAATAAATAATGATGCTATATATTTGAAAAAAAATCTTCTTTTAGTGCATAGTATGTAAAAGCTTTTTGTTAAGAATGTTTTATAAATTTTTACTTGCGATTGCAAGCATGCTCAACTTTGTAATAATTGAAGTACAGAATTTCATTTGGCGTACTGCTTTTCATTCAGTTGTTCTAGTGTAGACCAATCATCATTGTTATAGAGTACATAGTCGCTCTAGTGTACATCATTGGTGTAGTGTACATCCTTGATGATGGGACGTTGTGGTCTAGAGGTAGAGAACTGGACTGCTTACCCGTAAGTCACGAGTTCGAATCCGGGTTCAAGTCAGTAGACCGTCGCTGAGTCCACAAAAATTGTGTCTGCAGTTTTTCATCTTACGCGGAATCATTCTAGAAATCAAAGAATTCATCTTGTAATTCTCGTGAATGCTGGCAACATCAAGGGAAGAAGAGAATGGGTAATGCGTCAATGCAGATTCTTTTTTTTCAGCTCAGAGAAATAGCGCTGCAGTTCGTTTTCAATAGATTCAAGATGCCCAGAAGTTTCTTCTTTCAAAGTTTTAATTATCTCACAATTAGATTCATCTACCACACCGGAGAGTTTCTCAAATTTGCAATATTTCCAAGATTTATTTTCTTCGTCGATTTTGCAGCTTTGATAAGAAATGTCCCGAGATTATCATGGAAAGTTATAATATTCGTTCATTTTCCCTGAAGCTTCAGGTTAAGCTTATCTTGATGTTCGAACACACCTGCTAGGTATGATACTCTCTCCAAACACTCTATGTCGTTTTAAGTATACCAAAAGGTCTTGTTTCCTTTACATTTCCAAGAACAATTTATTTCAGATTTCAATTCACGATTCACAATTCGTTTGACAGCCAGCGCACTGTAGTGTAGAAGAGCAGAACCTCGTTATCTTTATTCAGGTCTTTGCTCAGTTCTTTAAAGGCTCCAGCAAGTTATGTTTTCAACATAAAGATATATAAAGTAAAATTTATTGAACAAAAATCACTAGTATATTCAGTTTATTGCTAGACACACAGAGTACGATAATATATACTAATCACATGGAGTAATTAAACAATGAATGAACAGCTAATTAGAGTAATTAAATAACACATGAACATCTAATCAACAGGATCTATAAGTTGTTTCATCAAGGATTTTTAAAAAATTTAATTTGTGAATTGAAAAAATTAAACAAAATCAGTCTAGATCTACATGCAGATTCAACAAGAGCAAGGAATTATTCAACTCAATCAGGGGTTTTTCTCCACAAACTAAACAATTAAGTCCAATTTTAGCAGGTGTAGTAGAGTACATGAATAAAAGCATGTGCCAAGTCAATCAATGATAAGCTTGATAAAGAAATGATTAGACGTTCTGTATCAGGGCAATAACAAGATCAGTGAATTGATCAGCTAGTGATTTAAAAAGACTGTAGCCAACACTGTGGATTTCATGAAGATGTCCAACAGAGTCCAATGGATCTGAAAAAAAAGTTTCCGTCCTTGATTCACATTGACAGTAGATAGTGAGATTGATGATTGTAGTCTATGCTCACAGCGTATGTCTGTTCTATCTAAGTTCATTGCTTTCAAGAAAATTATTATTAATTAGACGTTTTTTGCAAGCTTTTATTTAACTTTCTTCCTGTTCCGTCTAGATCAAAACACCCGAGCAAAATTACAAGCACTTCTAACTGACAGATACGGATCGTACTTGGTACATGGGTCAAGACATGAAGACAATGCATCATGACAATACATTTGACTTAATCGGATGCCTAATTTTTTTTTATGAATTAATTAATATTTGTCCAAATTAGTAGGCTGCCTCATCAAACTATTCTGTACTATTATACACGCGTCATCACGTTCATTAGGTGCGCAATTGTTTTTAGTTATGCAACTCTATTGTAAATTTAAAACATTTAAAATACTGAAAAGAAATTCATAAAAATCGTTTAATAACAAGCTTTTATGTAATAATGCACTAAAAGTAGAAAATAAATGAATTTCTTTAAATAATTAAAAATACAATACCATTTAAATAACTTTAAAAAAAAGCGTGGGTCTCTTCCTATATATTAGTAAGGGTATCCAATAGATTATAAAGTTACCCACGCTTTTCTTTATAGTTATTTAAATGGTAGTGTAATATTTAAAAAAATTAAAGAAATTCATTTATTTTCTACTTTTTAGTGCATTATTACATAAAAGCTTGTTATTAAAACGTTTTTTAAAAATTAATTGTATTAACAAACTTTCATTTAACTTGCTTCCTCTGACGTCAGTCTGTCGTCAGTCTAGATCGAAACGCCCGAGCGAAATTACGGGCACTACGGTTCGTAGTTAGTACGTGGGTCAAGACATGATGACAATGCAACATGACATTAAAATTGACTTAATTGATTGCCTGATTAATTTTTTATGAATTAATTAAAATTGTGTCCAAATTCCACACTATTAGACATGCGTCATTATGTTCAACAGGTGCGCATTGTTTTTAGTCATGCAACTCTATTGTAATTTTTTTTTAAAAGTACCGAAAAAATAAACCGGGAGTGATCTCCCCTAAACTTTCTCGAATATTCTTATACAATACTACGGGGAATGGCAACGCAGGATATAGACTTGATTTTTAATCAATGTTTAATTACTTAAACTTTTAAAAATATAATCGAGTAGAAAAAAAGAAATGCGCACCAATCGAACGCCAAACAATCTGTGTATAATAGTGCGGAATATTATTAGTACTTTATACATTCACTTTTTTATGAAACCAGAAATAGCTTAAATTACTACTTCCGGTCAACGAAAATTACTTAAAATTTGATAGAAGGCAAACAATTAGATCTTTTACTTATATGTAAAATTTAGTTTATCTATCTGTAACAGCTGTCAAGTTATATGCTTTTAAAATGTAAAAGTAGAATAAGTCCCGTTTCCGGTTATCGGAAATCGCTGAAAAGTTGATACAGAACTATAAATTTGATATAATACTTATATATGAAATGTCATCAACCTAGCTGTAACGGTACTCAATTTATCGTGTTTATAGACACGCATACACACACACACACACACACACACACGGACAGAATTGCAAAACCCAGTTTTTTTTTACTCGATTACGTATAAAACGTCGAAATGTTGATACATCTGGATTTAGAATTTTTGCCAAATTAAAATAAGTCCTCTATACTCCGTGTGTGATGAAGTTCTGAGGTGTAAAACGGTGAAAGCTGTCAAAAATTCATGTGATTTTTGTGCCCGATTACAATACTTCCTCAATACTCTGTATACGAGAAAGTAAAAATTAATTTAAAAAACGCTTTAATAATAATAATAAGCTTTTATGTAATAATGCACTGAACAGTAGGAAAAAATTATACTCTACTATTTAAATATCTATAAGCAAAAGCGTGGGTCTCTTCCTAAATATTACTAAAGGTATCCAATAGATACTAAAGTGACCCACGCTTTTCTTTATAGTTATTTAATAAGTACTGAATAATTTACTTTCTACTTTTAGTGCATTATTACATAAAAGCTTGTTATTAAAACGTTTTTAAGAATGTTTTTATTAACTTGCTTCCTCTGCCTTGCTGTATGTCGACATAGATCGAAAGTGACGAGCAGAATTTCGAGCACTTCTTACTGACCAGTTGGTTTTAAACTTGGCATATAAATAAATGCCGATGATATGCAATCTAATATCAAATTGTACTCAATTGGATGTCTAATTATTTTTTTAATGAATTGATTAACATTTAGAAATTAAAGTAGGGTGCCTTGCTATTATTCGGCACTATTTGCCGCCCATTTTAAGGGGGCAGTATCACCCAGACATTTAAAAATTGACGAAAAAATGTGCCAAAAAAAAAAAACTATTATACATACACACATAAAGTTTTTACCATAATAGTAAATATCAAGGAGCTATAAAACAGCACATAAAAGAAAGTTAACGTATGATGCAAACATTTTTTATAAATAATTTAACCAAAATCTTTTTACTAAGTAATTTTTGGCTGCGGTTTTCCAACATTTAGGCCCTTCCTGCTGAAAATACAATAGGAGATGCATAACAGGATAGCCTATCGCTGGAACTAGAAGATATCCATTGTGACAATTTTGAAAATTTTAGAGTTTTTTAAGTCAGACCAAAAAAAATTGAACTTTGAAATTTTCTAAAAATTGTATCCCTAATTAGAATGCTATGATTTTGTTCAAAATGTAATAAAATATTAACAAAATAATTTTTCGAAAATTTGTTGCTATACATATACCCTACAATTTATATACTATATTATACGAAACGTTACTACTGCAGTAAAATTTTGACATATGTATGTCGAATAGTTTTTTTGTTTGTGAATGTTTTGTTTCCTCCCTTAGTCTGGGTGATACTGCCCCCTTAAAGTTCATTTTTGTCCAGTAGTAAATTATTTTCTATTTAAAGAAAAAAAATTAATTTTCTCCTTTATAGTGCATGATTACATAGAAGCTTGTTATTAAAACGTTTTTTATGCAATTTTTTATGATTAAGCTTTAACTAGGAAACACAACCATTGAAATTATCTGGTTGAGTATTAACGAGTTACCTCTCTTAGTCGTCGTGAACAAAGCTGGTTGCTAGGCAACTGTAAAGCTGACCTACCATTGTTAGAAGTTCCTGTGGACCTCCCGACTGAACTTGTCCTGGATTGGTCGGTTGTTGTCCACCATGGGCAGCGGGTTGCCGTTACTGTCTGTCTCGTGGGAGACCAGGGTTCGAAACAACGCCAACTGGACATTGAAAGAGTTGCAACAATACACATTGGCCGACAGATTGATTGTGTGTGGCTAATTAGTGGATGACTGACCAACTGTGATATGACTGACCAATATTTGTATGACTGACCAACTCTTGTATGACTGACCAACTGTGATATGACTGACCAACTGTAGTATGACTGACCAACTCATGTATGACTGACCAACTGTGATATGACTTACCAACTGTGATATGACTGACCAACTCATGTATGACTGACCAACTCTTCTATGACTAACCAACTCTTGTATGACTGACCAACTCATGTATGACTGACCAACTCATGTATGACTGACCAACTCTTGTATGACTGACCAACTCTTCGATGACTAACCAACTCTTGTATGACTGACCAACTCTTGTATGACTGACCAACTCATGTATGACTGACCAACTCATGTATGACTGACCAACTCTTGTATGACTGACCAACTGTGATATGACTGACCAACTCATGAATGACTGACCAACTCATGTATGACTGACCAACTCATGTATGACTGACCAACTCATGTATGACTGACCAACTCATGTATGACTGACCAACTCTTGTATGACTGACCAACTGTGATATGACTGACCAACTCATGTATGACTGACCAACATATGTATGACTGACCATCTGTTGTATGACTGACCAACTGTTGTATGACTGACCAACTCATGTATGACTGACCAACTCTTGTATGACTGACCAACTGTGATATGACTGACCAACACATGTATGACTGACCAACTCATGTATGACCGACCATCTGTTGTATGACTGACCAACTCATGTATGACTGACCAACTGTGATATGACTGACCAACTCATGTATGACTGACCAACTCATGTATGACTGACCAACTCATGTATGACTGACCAACTTATGTATGATGCCACACGTAAATAGAACCCACCTGTCTTGAAGACACCTTGATCGTGTCCTTGAAGACGGACCAGATGACCGTCTCGTGGCACCCTGGTGTGGTCAGACTGCCGTGGTACCGGTACAGGTCGCTACGTCTGCTGGGCAGGATGGAGTTGATGGGGAAACTCGGGATGGTCACCGAGGTGTCTGGGGGGAGAAACAGCATTTCACTTGACCAACGGTCACCTTGTGTGGGCGACAGATAGTAGGTCACGCGACTTTAAGCAAGAAAGCGTTATGCGAGGTGGCGTCAAGCGAGGGAGCGTTATGCGAGTCATCATGACGCATATTAGCGATGTCAGCCATTACAAACCTGGGTCCTTGATTGACTTGAGATAGTTGGTGATGTTGTTGAATGGAACGTTGTCTCTAGAACTCACCTGAAACACAAAGTCAACTCCAAGTCAAGTGTATAAGTCAATTTTAAGTCAAATGTATAAGTCAGCTCATTGTCAAGTAGACTTTAGAAAACAATCAAGTTTTTAAATCTTAAATTGAGAAATAGATGGATGATTGTGGAGATATATGATTGTGTGGATAGATGGATGTGTGGATAGATGGGTGTGTGGATTAATGGATGTGTGGATAGATGATTGTGTCGATAAATGGATGTGTGGATGGATGATTGTGTGGATAGATGATTGTGTGGATAGATGATTGTGTGGATAAATGGATGCGTGGGTAGATGATTGTGTGGGAAGATGATTGTGTGGATAAATGGATGTGTGGATAGATGGATGTGTGGATAGATGGATGTGTGGATAAATGGATGTGTGGATAGATGGATGTGTGGATGTATGTATGTGTGGGTTAATGGATGTGTGGATAGATGGATGTGTGGATAGATGGATGTGTGGATAGATGGATGTGTGGATAGATGGATGTGTGGATAGATGGATATGTGGATAGATGGATGTGTGGATAGATGGATGTGTGGATAGATGGATGTGTGGATAGATGGATGTGTGGATAGATGGAGGTGTGGATAGATGGATGTGTGGATAGATGGATGTGTGGATAGATGGATGTGTGGATAGATGGATGTGTGGATAGATGGAGGTGTGGATAGATGGATGTGTGGATAGATGGATGTGTGGATAGATGGATGTGTGTATGTATGTATGTGTGGGTTAATGTATGTGTGGATAGATGGATGTGTGGATAGAAGGATGTTTGGATGTATGTATGTGTGGGTTAATGGATGTGTGGATAGATGGATGTGTGGATAGATTGATGTGTGGATGTATGTATGTGTGGGTTAATGGATGTGTGGATAGATGGATGTGTGGATAGATGGATGTGTGGATAGAAAGATGTGTGTATGTATGTATGTGTGGGTTAATGGATGTGTGGATAGATGGATGTGTGGATAGATGGATGTTTGGATGTATGTATGTGTGGGTTAATGGATGTGTGGATAGATGGATGTGTGGATAGATGGATGTGTGGATGTATGTATGTGTGGGTTAATGGATGTGTGGATAGATGGATGTGTGGATAGATGGATGTGTGGATAGATGGATGTGTGCATAGATGGATGTGAGGATGTATTTATGTGTGGGTTAATGGATGTGTGGATAGATGGATGTGTGGATAGATGGATGTTTGGATGTATGTATGTGTGGGTTAATGGATGTGTGGATAGATGGATGTGTGGATAGATGGATGTGTAGATGTATGTATGTGTGGGTTAATGGATGTGTGGATAGTTGGATGTGTGGATTGATGGATGTGTGGATAGATGGATGTGGGGATAGATGGATGTGTGGATAGATGGATGTGTGGATAGATGGATGTTTGGATGTATGTATGTGTGGTTTAATGGATGTGTGGATAGATGGATGTGTGGATAGATGGATGTTTGGATGTATGTATGTGTGGATAGATGGATGTGTGGATAGATGGATGTGTGGATAGATGGATGTGTTGATAGATGGATGTGTGGATGTATGTATGTGTGGGTTAATGGATGTGTGGATAGATGGATGTGTGGATAGATGGATGTTTGGATGTATGTTTGTGTGGGTTAATGGATGTGTGGATAGATGGATGTGTGGATAGATGGATGTGTGGATGTATGTATGTGTGGGTTAATGGATGTGTGGATAGATGGATGTGTGGATAGATGAATGTGAGGATGTATGTATGTGTGGGTTAATGGATGTGTGGATAGATGGATGTGTGGATAGATGGATGTTTGGATGTATGTATGTGTGGTTTAATGGATGTGTGGATAGATGGATGTGTGGATAGATGGATGTTTGGATGTATGTATGTGTGGATAGATGGATGTGTGGATAGATGGATGTGTGGATAGATGGATGTGTTGATAGATGGATGTGTGGATGTATGTATGTGTGGGTTAATGGATGTGTGGATAGATGGATGTGTTGATAGATGGATGTTTGGATGTATGTTTGTGTGGGTTAATGGATGTGTGGATAGATGGATGTGTGGATAGATGGATGTGTGGATGTATGTATGTGTGGGTTAATGGATGTGTGGATAGATGGATGTGTGGATAGATGAATGTGAGGATGTATGAATGTGTGGGTTAATGGATGTGTGGATAGATGGATGTGTGGATAGATGGATGTGTGGATGTATGTATGTGTGGGTTAATGGATGTGTGGATAGATGGATGTGTGGATAGATGAATGTGAGGATGTATGTATGTGTCGGTTAATGGATGTGTGGATAGATGGATGTGTGGATAGATGGATGTTTGGATAGATGGATGTGTGGATGTATGTATGTGTGGGTTAATGGATGTGTGGATAGATGGATGTGTGGATGTATGTATGTGTGGGTTAATGGATGTGTGGATAGATGGATGTGTGGATAGATGGATGTTTGGATGTATGTATGTGTGGGTTAATGGATGTGTGGATAGATGGATGTGTGGATATATGTATGTGTGGGTTAATGGATGTGTGGATAGATGGATGTGTGGATAGATGGATGTTTGGATGTATGTATTTGTGGGTTAATGGATGTGTGGATAGATGGATGTGTGGATAGATGGATGTTTGGATGTATGTATGTGTGGGTTAATGGATGTGTGGATAGATGGATGTGTGGATAGATGGATGTGTGGATAGATGAATGTGTGGATAGATGGATGTGTGGATAGATGGATGTGTGGATAGATGGATGTGTGGATGTATGTATGTGTGGGTTAATGGATGTGTGGATAGATGGATGTGTGGATGTATGTATGTGTGGGTTAATGGATGTGTGAATAGATGGATGTGTGGATAGATGGATGTGTGGATGTATGTATGTGTGGGTTAAAGGATGTGTGGATAGATGGATGTGTGGATAGATGGATGTGTGGATAGATGGATGTGTGGATAGATGGATGTGTGGATAGATGGATGTGTGGATAGATGGATGTGTGGTTATATGGATGTGTGGATGTGTGGATGGATGGATGTGGGGATAGATGGATGTGTGGATGTATGTATGTGTGGGTTAATTCATGTGTGGATAGATGGATGTGTGGATGTATGTATGTGTGGGTTAATGGATGTGTCGATAGATGGATGTGTGGATAGATGGATGTGTGGATAGATGGATGTGTGGATAGATGGATGTGTGGATAGATGGATGTGTGGATAGATGATTGTGTGGGAAGATGATTGTGTGGATAGATGGATGTGTTGATAGATGGATGTGTGGATAAATGGATGTGTGGATAGATGGATGTGTTGATAGATGGATGTGTGTATGTATGTATGTGTGGGTTAATGGATGTGTGGATAGATGGATGTGTGGATAGATGGATGTGTGGATAGATGGATGTGTGGATGTATGTATGTGTGGGTTAATGGATGTGTGGATAGATGGATGTGTGGATAGATGGATGTGTGGATAGATGGATGTGTGGATAGATGGATGTGTGGATAGATGGATGTGTGGATAGATGGATGTGTGGATAGATGGATGTGTGGATAGATGGATGTGTGGATAGATGGATGTGCGGATGTATGTATGTGTGGGTTAATGGATGTGTGGATAGATGGATGTGTGGATGTATGTATGTGTGGATAGATGGATGTGTGGATAGATGGATGTGTGGATAGATGGATGTTTGAATGTATGTATGTGTGGGTTAAAGGATGTGTGGATAGATGGATGTGTGCATAGATGGATGTGAGGATGTATGTATGTGTGGGTTAATAGATGTGTGGATAGATGGATGTGTGGATAGATTGATGTTTGGTTGTATGTATGTGTGGGTTAATGGATGTGTGGATAGATGGATGTGTGGATAGATGGATGTTTGGTTGTATGTATGTGTGGGTTAATGGATGTGTGGATAGATGGATGTGTGGATAGATGGATGTGTGGATGTATGTATGTGTGGGTTAATGGATGTGTGGATAGTTGGATGTGTGGATTGATGGTTGTGTGGATAGATGGATGTGGGGATAGATGGATGTGTGGATAGATGGATGTGTGGATAGATGGATGTTTGGATGTATGTATGTGTGGTTTAATGGATGTGTGGATAGATGGATGTGTGGATAGATGGATGTGTGGATGTATGTATGTGTGGGTTAAAGGATGTGTGGATAGATGGATGTGTGGATAGATGGATGTGTGGATAGATGGAGGTGTGGATAGATGGATGTGTGGATAGATGGATGTGTGGATAGATGGATGTGTGTATGTATGTATTTGTGGGGTTAATGGATGTGTGGATAGATGGATGTGTGGATAGATGGATGTTTTGATGTATGTATGTGTGGGTTAATGGATGTGTGGATAGATGGATGTGTGGATAGATGGATGTGTGGATGTATGTATGTGTGGGTTAATGGATGTGTGGATAGATGGATGTGTGGATAGATGGATGTGTGGATAGATGGATGTGTGGATAGATGGATGTGTGGATGTATGTATGTGTGGGTTAATGGATGTGTGGATAGATGGATGTGTGGATAGATGGATGTTTGGATGTATGTTTGTGTGGGTTAATGGATGTGTGGATAGATGGATGTGTGGATAGATGGATGTGTGGATGTATGTATGTGTGGGTTAATGGATGTGTGGATAGATGGATGTGTGGATAGATGAATGTGAGGATGTATGAATGTGTGGGTTAATGGATGTGTGGATAGATGGATGTTTGGATGTATGTTTGTGTGGGTTAATGGATGTGTGGATAGATGGATGTGTGGATAGATGGATGTGTGGATGTATGTATGTGTGGGTTAATGGATGTGTGGATAGATGGATGTGTGGATAGATGAATGTGAGGATGTATGTATGTGTCGGTTAATGGATGTGTGGATAGATGGATGTGTGGATAGATGGATGTTTGGATAGATGGATGTGTGGATGTATGTATGTGTGGGTTAATGGATGTGTGGATAGATGGATGTGTGGATG